ACACACACACAAATGGGTACCTGGTGCGATGTGTAAACATTGCCACTGGGGAGCCAAAAGCGGTCGGGCGTGGTGCAGGCCACCCATCCCCTCGTGTGTCGTGCCGGCCTTCATAGGTGCTGCTCGCTAACAGCACTTGCCCCAACAGTCTGGTAAGACTATACGGGGAGGGATATTTGTGTGAGTATGAGAGCGCTATCACGGGCTCGCATCTGCTGCATGGCCACTCCCAGCGACCCACTTGGTGACCTGCAGCTCAAACCAGACCCCTTTCCACTTACCCAATCGCTTGCCTGCACGCCCCGCCACCACACCGCCCATCATCCGCGGTTTTGGTTGCGAGGCGTGCTGAGAGGTGGAGATGGAGAGAGAGGCGGGGAGAGAGCTTGACGCGGGGATTGGAGAAAGCGCGCTCTTCAGCAACGTCTGTATTCGTTGTTGAGAAAATTGAAAGCAACGTTGCTAGGGGCACCACGGTACCGAGATGTTAACTCCCTCGCCTGGTATACAGGAGGTCCGTGGGTTCGATCCAAACCCCGATGCCTGTTGTATATTTAGAGTTTGCGGTGTCTCTCTCTCCCCGTGGTCCCGTGGATTTTGCTCCGGGTACTCCGGTTTTTCCCTCCACATTTATAATCAATATGCATTTGGAGTATTTGGCTGCTATGAATTTTACCCTGAAAAAGCCACTTCGTTGGGTTATCATTTGTGGCCAGATCGCTTCTGAAAAGGAGCAGCATAGCTCAGTGGGCCTTACCTGGTAAGATAACAATTGTTTTAGAGTTGTTTTTTTTATAGTCTCCAAACAAGGGAGATTTGAAGCAGTGTACGCCAACTGCTGCGACGTTACGCAGCATAAACTTGGACTTCCACGTGCATATGTAGCCATTTTTGCTACTACGATAATCTGGCACTGACGTGGGGGGGGGGGCATCGCTCCGAACCAGGCACAGTGCACACACCACAACCCCCGGATTGCGTGGCGGAGGAGAAGCTGAACGGCACAACCTGCGGAAGAAGTTAAAACGCACGCGGTTGTGCCGCTGTTCCGCTCGGTCGCTCGGAGAAACAACGGGTGCAGCATTTCCCCCAGCCCACCCACCCCGACCTATGCACCCTCCCCACCCGACCCACCCAGCCACCCTCCACCTGACCCACCCAGCGGGCCCACTCGTCCTCCTCCGAGTCGGCGCGGTGCAATCGCTCCTTTGCGTGCGGGGACCTCTGAGCAGCGCACGGCTGTTCATCTCCGCGCCCATGGCGTGGTAAAAGCACGTGGGGGTGTGGGGGTTTGTTGGGGGCTTGGTTGCGGTTGGGCGTGCGGGGGTGGGGATTCCTGTTTTAAATTACTGCCCAGCAGATGCACGGTAGTTAAACGCTTCTTGGAAAACCCGATACGCCAGCGAGCGGCAAATTTACTCCCAAAAGTGGCCGGCACTTTTTTTTTACGACGTAAATCTGTTCCGTAACGTTTCGCGGGATTGAGGATCGTGCCGTATTTGTTGTCCCGTGGTAACAGGAATTAATAATCGGAATTTCCTCGTGGCCGAGGCTGCTTCGCGCTGCCGGCAAGGTCACGGCCCTCGCTGCTGTCGTCCCGTTGCCACTATGCTCAATCCGCTGCTGGATGAAGTGCGGCCCAAGCGAGCCACCCCCCCGTTCCTTGCACACGCGGCCAGATTTCCTCGCTCCATCTGCTGCGCGGTGGAGAAATGTTAACTACCTCGCCTTGCATGCAGGAGGTCGTGGGTTTGATTCCGACCTTGACGCCTGCTGCTGTATATTTGGAGTTTACGTGTCTCTCTCTCCATCATCATCACGGTGGCTAGGAGATGTTAACTACCTCGCCTTGCATGCAAGAGGTCGTGGGTTCGATCCCGACCCTGACGCCTGCTGCTGTATATTTGGAGTTTACGTGCCTCTCTCTCCATCATCATCACGGTGGCTAGGAGATGCTAACTATCTCGCCGTGCATGCAGGAGGTCGTGGGTTCGATCCCGACCCTGACGCCTGCTTCTGTATATTTGGAGTTTGCGTCTCTCTCTCATCATCATCACGGTGGCTAGGAGATGCTAACTATCTCGCCGTGCATGCAGGAGGTCGTGGGTTTGATCCCGACCCTGACGCCTGCTGCTGTATATTTGGAGTTTACGTGTCTCTCTCTCTCTCCCTGTGGTCGTGTGGATTTTTCTCCGGGTCCTCCTGTTGCTCCCTCCGAATTTTACGCGCGTTTAGAGTATTTGGTTGCTATACATTTCCGCGTGATAAGCCACTTCATTGAGCTATCATTTGTGGCCAGGTCACTTCTCAATGGGTACCTTACCTGGTAAAATAAACATTTGTTGAGTTTTAGTTTGCTCGGCAGGCCGTCAAATTTTGGAAACTCGCCGCATTCTTTAGGCTGAAAACGACAGCCACCGTGGAGATGGAACGATGGAATCGGCTCGCGTGCGGAAGGGAGATGGATCGTTGGACCGCGTGACCCCTTGAGCGACGACGACGATGACGGCGGCGACGGCGACCAACGCATTTTATTTTGTCGAACGACAATCGCGAGATTGGACAAACTCGCCGCAGTTGTTTTGTGTTTTGCCGCGTGGCAGCCTCGGACCCGCGTGGACGCTAGCGAGCACGCCGGGGGGAGGAGGGGAGGGGAGGAGGGGGGGGGGAAGGGGGGGCGGGCCCCCGCTCTTGCTCGTTTGCGAGCGCGGGCGACATGTGGCGTGCACGAAACCGGGGACCCACTTAGAGGCGAGCGTGATGGATTGCCCCGGAGCGGGAGCCTCAAATGCCCCCCGGGGAGCCGTTCTTATCGACGCCCCCGCCGCGCGCTCCGTGCGCTTGCGCGGGGGAGGGGGGGTGGGGGGCGGGGGGGTGGGGGGCGGGGGGGTGGGGGGAGGGGGGATGGGGGTTCTCTCCCTACCTACAGTGGCTGCCACCCTCCCCCCTCCACCCCCCCCCCCCCATTTTTCTCTTCTCCTCTCTACCCCGCCGCCCTTTCCTGCTGCTGCCTCCCCCTGTTCCGCAAACCTTCCCCCCCCCCCGTTCTCTCCTGCTAATTTGCCCCCACCCCACTGCCACCCGCTATCCTCTTGCCCCCCAAAGTTGCTATCGTCTATTCCCTTGCCTCCTGTCTCTCTCTCTGCTGCCTCCCCTCCTCCCCCATCCCGCGCCCTCTTCCGCTGCCAGGCTCTGTCCTACCACCTCCGGACACTGAGCCCCGTTGCCCCTTTGCTGGCGCTCCCACATGCCGCCGGCCCCCGTATATTGTGCCAGTCGCTCTCCCCATCTGCTGCCCTCCGTCCAGTCTCCCCATCCCATTACCCTCCTCCATTCGCTGTCCCCTACCCCGCCGCACTCCATGCTGCTGCAACCCCCTACTACCGCCCCCTATCCCACGGTCTCCTACGCCATCACCCCCCCATCCCCCCCCCCTTATTGACTGCCCCCATGCCGCTATTCCTGAACCTGTACCTCCATATTCCACTGACACTCACTGCTGCCCCATATCCCAACCTCCAATCCTATTGCCCCGACTGACGTCTCCATATCTCCGTCGCCTGTGCTGCAGACCAGCGATTCCACCTCCTATACCACTACCACCACTACCACCACTACCACCACTACCACCACCACCACTACTCCCTGCTGCCCCCACGCAGTCCCAGCCATATGTTTGCTGTAATCCTCGTAAGTGGCTTGTTCGCTTGTTTTGGAAAGCTCACGCGCGCGCACGCTCGCAGGAACATACACACGTACACAACGACACGCGTCCCCCGTGTAGCCTTTAACAGACTTTTGGGGCAAGTGCTGTTAGCATGCAACCTCAATGGAGAATGACAGGGCGATATGGTCAACAACACACCCGATCTCCTTTGTCTTCCCAATGCTGATCCTGCCAGGTACTCATTTAAGGCTGAGCCGACCTAGGGAAGGCCAAGGAATGGTTCAGATATTCGTCACCATGATTGCCTGCGAGCAAAAATGTTACTTGGGTCACCGGATTCGCAGCGAAGCGCGGGAACCGCTACACTACCGTTCCAAAACAAACAAACACGCGCGCACACACGCACACGCACGCACGCGCACACACACGCACACACACGCACACACGCGCGCACACACACGTGGGGTGGTGGGACGATGGCCCACATCTGCCCGAGCGCTCGCACCAATTAGCGCTCTGTGGGCGAGGGCCGCGGGTCGTTAGGGTTCGGAGCAAGCTGACCGAGCATGGATCGGGAGAAGGGGGGGATGGGTGGTGGTGGGTGGGGGGGAGGAGGGGAGGGGGTCCCTTTCGCTGATGATTTGCTCTTCACTTTACCTACTGTGGCCGGTTCGATGGTTTCATTCTCCCTGAACTGCGCTGGCGATGTTCCCGAACCTTCTCTTGAACGAGCACAAATAATCGTGATAATATAATTTAGTAGTTTCATATTCTTACAGCGCAAAGCCATCACAGGTGGATATAGTCTTCGGTAGTTTCACAGCGGGGGCGGGTGGGGGGGGCAATGTTGTTGTGTGTAATCCAAATAGAGTAGGTTGCAAGTGGTTTTTCAGCATTGGGATGTTTGGCCAGTACCAGTTCCATTGTATGTTTCTTTCTAGCTATGGGAGGAAAACGGAGAACTCAGAGGAAACCCATGCAGAACAGGGGGCGAAACATACAAACTCCACGCTGAAAGGCAGGCGGCCCAAGTCTGGAATCAAACCCAGTCCTTTCTGTCTGTGAGGCGCGAGCATTACCACTGCGCCCCCCCCCCCCCCCCCCCCCTTGCCGCCCTGATTGTAGGATCGATCGTTCACAAGCGACGAGCACCGTCGTTCATTCGCTCGAAAAGACGTTTTGACGGCGGCACGCTTCGGGGTGTTCTCTCGGCTTCGTCCCTGGCTCCGGGAGTCGCGTGCGCCGAGTCCGCTGACCGCCGACCGTGGCGAGCGCTGCGCTGCCGTGCCGAGCGCTCTCTCACTCTTTCTCTCTCCGTGTTTGTGGCCTTCAGAAGCAGGAGAATGCCCAGATGCTGCTGGACTACGTCTGCACGTACCTGCAGCTGGCTGAGCGCAATTTCTTCGGGCTGCAGATCCCGGGAGAGGGCAAGGCCGGCCCGGTGGGTAAACGCGCGCGGGCTGACCGCAGAAGCGCCTCTGACCTCTTCTTCACGTGTGCTCCGCGGGATGAGTGAACTTCCTCTCCCGTCTTCGACGCGTTGTCTTTCCGCCGCCGCCGCTGTTGCTTCGGCCGTACTCGCTCGCCCTCCGCGGTCAACTGATAGTTGAGTGTGTTTGGCGATGACGTTCTCATCGCGTGGGGCCGGAGCAAAGGCAGGGCGCTGCTGCGTTTCGCACACTCGGTCCGCGGTGGTCACATGGTCGTGGGCGACATCGCAGCTGCTGATGCGGCAGCTGCTGCTGCTGCGTTTGTAATCCTTATTGAGTAATTTGTGATTTTTGCAAATGCGGCAAATTTTGAACGTGACGACGACAGACAAACCCTGCCCCCCCCCCCCCGCTCTTTAACGTCCGCTATGAAGCGGGTGGCCCGGTCAGTCGCCCCTCGGTTAACGTTTTTAATCCGTTCCACAAAATAACTGTTCATAGAATTCAATTGTAAGTTGAAAAGTAAGTAAAAATCACTGAGGTTTTCACGACCAATTTCATTCGTGATAAATATTTTTGGGTTAGGTCGCGATAGAACCCCAAAACCTTTATTATGAAAAATCACACTGTCTGCAAGAGAGCGTTTTCCACTGCCGTAACAGAAAACATAACAATGTAAACAAAGCCAAGCCGAGGTGTCGCTGATTGGCTGAGGGCATGGCTCAGCCCCACTTACGAGCGCTCGGATTAGTTGAAATTGGCACCCGCGTGCATAACGTAAACACGTTACTGTTAGTCAAAATGTTAACGCTAGTCAAAATGTTAACGTTAGTCGAAATCATGGGGTCCTCTATGGGAGGCAAAACGTTAACCGAAAATCCGTGAACCGATGTCAATGTTAAACGAGGGACTACTGCACACGCCCCGCAGTAATCACCAGGGCGAACGCACCGCCCCTCGAATCATTCCGTCGGATGATTCCACTCCGTCTCCTTCTGCTCTGCTCTTCCTCCTCCTGCGCGCTCTCGAGTGTGGGTTATCGCTCATCGTTGCCATTCACTCGAAATCCGTGACACCTGTCCAGGCCACACTATTAACGCGAGCGCTCGTGCGTACACAAAATCCAGATGCAAGTTGATTTTATGCAACGTCCAAATGTGATTACATGTCACGACGCCGCACAGAAATTGGGGGGGGGGGGCATGTTTATTTTATAGGGCGGCATTCGCGGGTCTCTATGATGCGAGTCTATGGGTCTCTGTGATGCGAGTCTGTGGGTCTCTATGCGAGTCTATTGGTCTCTATGCGAATCTATGGATCTCTTATGCCAGTCTTTGGGTCTCTGTGATGCAAGTCTGTTGGTCTCTATGCAAGTGTATGGGTCTCTATGTTGCGAGTCTATGGGTCTCTATGCCAGTCTGTGCGTCTCTATGCGAGTCTATGGGTCTCTATGGAAGTATGAGTCTCTGTGTGAGTCCCTCCCCTGTGGGAACCTGTGGGTCTCTGCGTGGGTCTCTGCGTGAGTCTATGGATCCCTGTGAATGTATCAGTCTTGATGTGAGTATACAGCTCTGCGTGAGTGTATGGGGGGATATCTGTGTGAGTGCGTGGCTCTGTTGAGTGAATACACTGGTCAACAAAAAAAACACATTTTTTCCTGGCCTGGACTTTTACAGCTGTTTTAGACTAATTTCAGGGTGCTGATTCCAAATCAGATTTGCTCTATCACATCTCATTTTTATGCTATTGGCATACCCCATTTTCATTGATTTTACCCGAAATTAACTCTGTCACTTATGATTGCAAGTTGTTGCCAGTCAGTGACTGCTTTAGTGTTAAAATATGGTGCTGTATTTTTAGGATAGTGTGTTTATAATATAAATTTATGTAGATATCCACATTTATTTAATATTTTTCTTCTGCAGTTTTTATTGAAAATGCAATATTTGATATCTCAAAAACCTGATGTGATAGACAAAAACTAATGCCACATTTGGAATCAGCACCCCAAAATTACCTTAAAACCGTTGGAATACCTTATGCCAGAAAAAGTGTGTTGACCAGTGTTATCGATAGGAGCCTGTCGGCAAAACAGGAGCCGATGTACTTGTACCTGAGTTTCATTCCTGGCGCCACAGGCTTTGTTAGCGCCGCTGGAGTGAGTGTGAAGCTGAGCGTGATGTTTTACCTACGTGACTTTACCGAAAAAACTTAAGAATGTGATGTTGTCGCTCGCTCTCTCCCCGCAGAAATGGCTCGATCCAAGCAAGCCAATCAAAAAACAGCTCGGAAGTAAGTACGCCGTTCCCCCTCGGCACACCACATCCTGTATACCGCTTGCTTGTGGCTGCGGCCCCCGCTCCTTGGTCACTTTCCCGCCACCCGATCAAGTTCTTCCGGTGACCGGGAAAGAAAACAATTTAATTCGGTGAGAATTTAAATCCCTGACGTGTGCACAAAAATTATAATTAACGTTTATCAAGGTTAGCGCTCACTTGAGTCTCAAGACTCCTTTTCCTGAGGTTCCTTGCATGGGGGGGGGGGGGGGGGGGGAGAGGTTTGGCCCCGAATTCGTTTTAGAAACGGGCGCTTTACTGTACGTGGGAGGAACTCATGAGCGCCCGGAGAAAACCCACCACGCATTCGAAGGGATAACGCGCTCGCCAGTCCGCATAGACGGGTCCACGATCCCACTTGCCGTACGGTCCCATCTACCGGCCACCTCCCAGGCCAGCGGTGGCCGTTTTTGGCTTTTTACAAACCTCTGCGTGATCCAGCAACCCCTTTGCCTCTAAAAAACACCGCGACCCAAACAGCAAGTCTCGGTACATCGGTGGGTATCGGTTCATCTTGATTCGGGAAAGCATCGTTTCGTCTTCAAGACCTCCCAGCCGATTAGCGGGTTTTTGGCTTTTCACAAACCTCTGCGTGATCCAGCAACCCCTTGCCTCCAGAAAGCGCCGCAGTGGCCGGTTTGATGACGTCCAACGGGTAAAGCGGTACCCGGTTGAAAACGTCCACCGCAGATAAAATCTAAGCCTGGCTCGGTCCGCCGGCATTGGCGTCGTCGGCAGCGCCGATTGATTCTCGCTCACGTCGCGTTTCTCGCGTTGGGTTCAGTGACCGCCGATGGTAACGCCGCTTTACGGGGCTTCCTGCGTTTTCACTTTCGGGTGCCCACTGATCGAAAGTCCCGCAGGACCGTCTCTCCCAGCCGCATCCGCGCCGTTGCGTGCCGGTGACCTTAATGGGTTCTTGAACAACGCTTCCGGCAGAATGTTTGTTGACCGAGCCCTGCCGAGTAACCGTCGACACGACACCGGTCTGTGAGCCGCAGCAGAAATCGGGAGCAGCTGAGGTGGCTAAAACTTTATCAGCGCCGCTCTGTTTAGGCACACATGGCCAGTAAGAGTGGATTGCATTTTATAGCCTCGCTCATTTCAAATGGTTATCACGTAATTCGCTGTTGCTGGCCACTTGAAATTAATTGGAGCCACTTAAGTTGCGGCACCCCCTAGTCCTAGTCCGGTGGTACCAGACAAAGTGGAACGTCTGCGCTGGACTCCGTGGAATGAAAGATTACTCTTTGGTTATTTTGGTAAAGTGACGTATAAAGAGAAAATAATAAATTAAATACTAGCATACGACGTTTCGATTGCAACACAAGCAATCATCATCAGGTATAAATGAAATAGAAACACAAATCTAGTATACTTAGAAATGTAATGTAATACAACAGAGATAACATAACAGTCAACACCCTACCTGGTTGATTACGTTCTTCCTGAGAATGCTAACTTTTAGAGAGAGATAAAACACAGAACCAGAGACATATAGACAGACATATAAGCAGACAGATATCACAGAGATACATAGAGAGAGATACATACATAGGCACACAGAGAAATCACGCCTCTGTGTCGAGGCCTTAAATAGAGAGAGGGGGCGGGGGCGGAGAGAGAGGGAGGGGTTAGAGAAATTAGCATGTCAATGAGTGGCACGGTGAGTGGCACGGTGAGTGGCACGGTGCAAAAGCTTGAAAAAATTAGGAGACAAGGAGAGAGACACACTGAATTAGGTTTGGCTTGCGTGTTAGCGTAGTGACGTGTCTGTGCATGTGCGCGTTTTAACACGGAGAGGTTTGTACGTTCAACACGGAGGGGTGTGTACGTTTAACACGGGGCGCTCTGTATTTTAACACAGAAGGATCTTCAACCGTGTTGAGCTTTCGAGTCAAGTACTTTGTCCGGGACCCCGACCGGCTGACAGAAGAAGCCACCAGGTGATACTGCTCGCTGCTCACTGCTCACTGCTCGCGCGCAATTTTTTTGCAACACGGTAAATCGCGATGACCATATCGCCCGCAATGCGGTGCTCAATCTCGTCGGACCTGTGAAGCTAAGCAGGCTGGAGCCTGGGCAGATCTCTGGTACGTGAAGGCCATGTGTAACAGATGTTATAGGTTGCTGCGGGGTTGGGGGTTGGGAGGTTTACGTGACCAGCAGAGGGCAGTTCAACAAGACCCACCGTTGTACTGTTCTACACTCCCGCATCTGTGTGCCCCGCCGTCAACCCGCGGCGAACGGTGAAGCGCGGTCAGATAAAGCCGCGACCCTCACGGCACAGGGAGGCCCTCATCCAGCAGTGGATTGACAGAATGGGGCTGAGCAGTGTACATTGATCCTGTGCAGGTGCGTTGTGCTCATAGTTCATTGACTAAGTGAGGCTCACGGACAGCTGATTAACGCTCGAATCACATTACAACCTCGGCTAATAACATACCAGTATGGATCCTTGCAGTCACGAAAACTTCAAATCTAGAACATACCAGTTGGTGATATTTATAGATATATACAGGGTGCTTACATTTTTTGTTTAGCACTTATATGGGACTATTGTTTTTATTGGAAAAAGAACGGATAAATACACTGTGACATTTCGATTTAAAGCTTTCGTGACTGCAGGGATTCATCTTCTTGGTTCTTTCGGTAAAGTCACGTGACTTTACCGAAAGAACCAAGAACACTGTGACATGATAACAAATGAATGTTAATTGCTTCAAAAAGTCAAAGAGTCTCCACTTCTTCTTGGTTCTTTCGGTAAAGTCACGAAGAAGCGAAAGAAAAAAAGAAAAAAACTTTATTATGTTTTATTTGTATTAGTTTATTATTTCCCTTCTACGTGACTATACCGAAAGAACCAAGAAGATGAATCCCTGCAGTCACGAAAGCTTTAAATCGAAATTCACCCGTACTGTGATACCACAGTACGGGTGTGATAACACATTACAGATGTTATAACGCAGTACAGATGTTAGAACATAGCACAGATGTGATACCACAGTACGGATGTGATAACACATTACAGATGTTATAGCACAGTACAGATGTTAGAACATAGCACAGATGTGATACCACAGTACGGATGTGATAACACATTACAGATGTTATAATGCAGTACATATGTTAGAACACAGCACAGATGTGATACCACAGTACGGATGTGATAACACATTACAGATGTTATAATGCAGTACAGATGTTAGAACATAGCACAGATGTGATACCACAGTACGGATGTGATAACACATTACAGATGTTATAATGCAGTACAGATGTTAGAACACAGTACAGAAGTTACGATCGTGATAAAAGGAGCTAATCTCGCGGTACATGGGAGAGTAACGGCACGTCTTGCATCTTTGATTCGGGAAAGCATCGTTTGGTCTTCAGGACTCGTGTTATCAAATGGCGCGTTCAGATCGTCGCGTTTTTCTTTTTAAATCGAATGCGACGATGATTACCTCGTTTTGCGTGGGAGCCGATGGATAGCGGCGCTGCGGAGATAATCCGCTCATCTCGGCCGATAAGCGATGGGGGGGGGGGGGGGGGGGGGGGGACGATGCTCGGCGAGAAGCATAGGGGCGCAGCGAAAAACATTCTCCTTTTTCAGAAAGTACTTTTTTTTTTTTCTTCACTTTACCCAGAAAAAGTGCTAGGCGGCTGGCGATTTTTCACCCGGGTCAAAACACAGCGCATGCTCGCCATTCAAATGTTTGCCGTTCACTACGTCAACGGCGCAGGCAGCGTCAGCCTTGTGTCTGCCGTCTGTCTGTCATGTTTTAGCTGTCGTCTGTTTTCTGTCAGTCATCTGTCTCCTGCCTGTCTCCTGTCTGTCTTCTTCTGTCCGCCATCTGTCTCTCATCTCTTTTGTTTGCTTTCTGTCTCTTGATCTGTCTTGAAATACGTTTTTCTCAGTGGGATTTGTTGGCTTGCATGTTTATTACAATATACTACGGTGCAATCGCAATTTTTCAAACACTTACGGTTTATGATGCAACGTCGATTGATGTAGCGCCGTCTAAAAGTGACCTCATATCACGGTGCGGTATAGGAACGACGGGCGTGTTCGTTGAGTCGAGAGTGGGAGAAACATTTAAAATCAACGTGCGTTTAGCATATTTGGCTGCTATAAATTTCCACTCCGTAAGCCACTTCGTTGAGCTATCATTTGTGGTGGCCAGGTCGCTTCTAAAAAAAGGCTACGTAGCTCGGTGCGGCCTTACCTGGTAAAATAAAAAAAAATAGTTCAAATAGCAAAGAGGCGGTCGGTCTTAGGCAGCGGAGAAGGGGAAGTGGTTTGAGGCGAGACTTGAATAGGGGCAGGGAGTCTGCAGCACGGGCGTCTGGGGGTAGGGAGACTGTCTCAAGGAAGCTTCACAAACAAATGAGTCATGTGACTCTAATTCACGAGTGCTCTTTGGTTTTTTCAGTAAAGTCACGTAGGTAAAAAATAAAAGAAAATTAATTAAATCACGACGTTTCGGAGGCAACACAAGCTTCCGTCTTCACGAGGTTCCTGCATCCGCTTGTCTTGCCAGTTATACTTGTTCACACTGTGCATGCGGGAGGGAGATCTTGAGTCCCCGGAGAAAAAACCCACCATGCATACGAAGGAACGGAAAAACTCTCACAAGTCCGCACAGATTGGTTGTTGGCGAACCCCGCCCACCGCACCGCCATCTTTTGGCCGCCTCGCAAACAGCGCTGGTCCGCCTCGTAAGCAAGCCCAGCAGCGGGCCTGAGTGTTCCACAGATCTCTGCATGATCCGCCGACCCCCTCCACAAAGCAGGCCGGCGGGCTTCCAACGACAGCCCAACGCCGCTTGAGCGTTTGGCCGCATCGCGTCGGAAAGCAAACATTGGGTGATGTAACACACCCTGTTGTTTGTATACATGAACGTGACTGATGGCGGAAGCTCAGAGAATCGGGATAGGGGACCGTAAAGCATTAACGATGGGGGCGGTAAGCTTCTCCGATCAACGTCTTGCCCGCCCGACCGCTCCCCTCAACGACCCTAACCCCGCACGGCGGCACGCAAAGACGCACACAGTGACGCACAAAGACGCACGCACACAGGGCCCGGGCCCTATTGGATGAAGTGAAGCACGGCGACCTGTTGTGACCTTTGACCCCGCGTTATCTGTCCGCCAGGCACCTGTTTTACCTTCAGATCAAGAAGGACATCCTCGAGGGCTGGTAAGTGATTCGCCACCTCTGAGAGCGCCTGCAAAATCTCAACGATCCGTCCGCCGCCGCTCGTTCGTATCGATCGGCCCGGGCTATAGATAGAAAATCGTGCGCGCGGAGCTCTCGGCCCTGCTCGCCGAGGCGTGCACACGGCCCCCCCTGCCCCCCCCCCACCTCCGCCCACCCGTGCGCTTCCACTCGAAAAATCTATTCGGTGAGCGCTGGCCAGTACCCCTCCCCACCAACCCACCCACCCCACCCACCCACTCACCCCCTCTGTTGGAGACGTGCTATTTATTATCGTTCGCTTGTTTATCCGGAAGAGGCTCGAACCGAGTCTTAACGTCTCTCCGTCCGGAGTGGGGTCCTGCCAAGTTCTCGCGGCAGGGAGATGCGACGGTTTGCGTTGTTTTTGTTTTTTTTACGATCGAGTAATTTGCGGCCTTTCACATTTGACAAACTTTGACCGTGACAACGGCACACGGTAGCGTGCTCTTGCGGATGACGCCGCGGGATCTTTTGTGAAGCGGACTGTGAGCGAAGGTGCTCGCTAACGACACTTCCCCCCAACAGTCTGTTAAGGCGATACGGCGGGATCCTTTGCCTTTGTGACGCGTGTGTAACCCTGCGGTGTGACGTGCGCGCTGTGTGCTGTAGGCTGCCCTGCCCGCGCGACATGGCCATTCAGCTCGCCTCCTACGTGGCGCAGGGTGAGTGAGTCACTGCCGCTTAAAATAAGCACACGAACGCGCACCCCTGGCTCGCCTCGGCGTAGGCCCGTTAAGCGCCGTCTAACGACCCCCCGTCGTTGAAAGCGGGGGGCGCGGGGGGCGCGGTGGGCGCAGTGGGCAGGTGGCATCATTTCCAGCAGCCGAGGGCTCTCGGTGATTCCTGCTGGGAAGGGGGCGTGCGGTTGGTACCGCTTTTCATGAACCGTGAATTCTGGGAGAAAGCCATCGCAGCGATGGGCCTCATCAACGCACAGCTGTCAGATGAGGAACCGGCCAAACGTTTGTTAAATTACGGGCTGATTGCCCCCCCCCCCCACCTATCGCCCCCCCTCTCCTCAAAACGCCCCAACAATTTCATGCTCAGTCTCGCCACCACCATCAACCGCCCTCTACAAGTCCACCAACGTTGACACTGTCCCGGATCCCGACTGGTCGCTGCGTGCATAGTTACAGACACAGGCAGAGCGGGGACGTGGTGATATTTGGCTGGCAGGGTGGCAGCGCAGTGCAAACGTGTTCGTGCCTCGCAGCAAGAATCGCCCTGGGTTCGATTCCCTACTCGGATGGCTTTTCTGCACGGAGTCTTCGTGTTCTCTTACCTGTTCCGCATGCGTTCCCTCCGGGTTCGCCGCTCTCCTGCCTTAGCTACAAAAAAGCACGCGGTGTAATTTGTTGCCGTTGGCCAGCAGCGACACCGTCCCCTGCCGTGAAAACTCGGCAGGGTCCCTCTGAAGGAGAGCCCGGAGACTATTCCTGCCGAGTGAACTGGCATCGCCGACGCTAATCCCGAGCGCGGCGACGTACGTCGGAAATCGCCGCCGCCGCTATCGCCGGCCACCGACGATGCCGCGGTAATCGCCGCGAATGATCGCGTTGGCCGGGTGGGCGTTGTTTGCGGTGGCGGTGTCTCCTGGTGGGCGCGCCGCTACGGCTATAATTAGGGGATAATTGCTCCTCCCCGTCGTTTTCGGGGGGCCCTGCTTCTGTGACAAGTGGTGAAACGCGGGCGATTAGCGAGGAGAGGGGGGAGGTGGCGGGGGAGGTGGGTTGATGGCGGCCGTGGAAGCGAACGATCGCCGGATACGCCCGGCTCCCGCGCTCCGGGTGTCGACACCGGAACGGCTGAATGGCCGATCCCCTCGCTTTGCCCTCGAGATGGGGAGTAACGACGGCGCGGTGAATTAGACTCGGTGGGTTTTCACCGAATCTTGAGCTCGAAAAATGAGTATCGAGGCATTCGTTGGTGATCATCTCCCGTTTGCAGCTCTGAGCCATTGATGAGAATTTCACATTCCTATTGCGGGGGAAAGTTTATCCATAAGACGACCAATGCTGAGTTTCTCACAAAGTGGTACTTATTTTATTGAACACCCACCCCGACAGATGATGGGCGTAGTGCACCCTCAGCCAGCTGAGCCACCTGGCCTCCATCTGAAAACCGAATCGTTGTGTTTTTTGATCCGTACGTGTCGTATGTAATTGGTTCAGGTGACCACCTTAAGAGGTAGCTCTAGGGCGTCTCTCCAGAGGGTACTTTGGCCTACTCTTCCACGGCTTTTCAAGCTGCAGCGCGTAATGTACCTCGATTCGTCCCAGCTGATCGCAGCAACCAACGCAGGGCTGAAGGCAGTCGGGCAACTAAAGTAAAGGCAAAGGTGCAGCCCTGCGGTTGCTTGCACGCAACCGCTGCTGGGGCCTCCGTTAGAGGGAGTTCTCCACGGTAATTGGCCTACTCCTCCACTCTGGCCAGACATTTTGTAAGAGCCGGAAAGTACCCACACTCTACCCCAACACACGCCCGAGTGCTTACTGCCGCTGAACAGGTGGCGTTTTTTGACGGAAGCGTTTTCGGCTCTGTTCGCCGTCACTAACTCGCGTCGTCGTTGGCGTGTGTGCGTGTGTGCGTGCGTGCGATCGTGCGCGCGTGCGTCCGACAGCCGAGCTCGGCAACTCCAACCCGGCGGTGTCCGGAACCGGCTACCTCTCGCGGCTCCGCTTCCTGCCGGAGTTGCCCCAGGACTTCCTCTTGGATGTCGCCAAACAGCACTCCAAGCACAGGTGTGGCGGCGGGCGGCGGAGAGAGAGACCGGGCCGGCCGGAGGGTGGTGGGTGGCAGTGGTTGAAATGCCAGCGTCCTGGTGGAGAGACGAGCGTTAGTTCTACTGACGGTGTGTTTTATTTGTCCAAGCGCTTGTTGGCACGTTTCTCGTGCGCGTTGTTCGAAACGTGCGGTTTTTTTCCCACAATGGTGAATCTGGTGAATCGGGAGTGGTCTGTCAGCAGCGTCGCCCTGTGTTTGCGAGTCGCGTGGTCCCGCCGGTTGACGTCCCCAAGGCTCTACGACCCAATCGCCCTGAGTGCGCCCGACCGATCTCGTCGGATCTCTGGGGCGAGCTGCCAGGCGACAGCAGGGGTCTTCATAGGCCTGGGCCGTGGCGGCGTGGCCGGGAGTTCCCCCTTGTTATGCGTGGCGGGTTTTTTTCCCGGGGTTCTCCGGTTGCCTCTCGCGTGCCAATCGCTCGTTCATGGAATTGGCGGCACGTGCCCGTGCCAGCACCCTCCTGAAAAACAAGTGCCAGTGGTGGGATTGTTGATCTGGGATGGAGAGAGTTCAGTAGCTTCGCCACTGGTATAGATTACACATGCGTGACAAGGACAGTCATTTAAACATATGTATTATTGTTGCAACAAATAGTTTCCCAGAATTTTGAGAATGTATCAAATTGCGGTAATGTGTGTAGATGTTACGTTCTTGGTAATAATGATGCCACTGCTGGCTGTGATGATAAACAGCCGTTGTGTTTGGCGGCGATGGCGACGATGACGACGATGGCGATTTAACAATTTCTAAGAAAATCAACTCCACGTGAAACTCACGTCCTCTCATTGTCTGTCTCGAGGCTGCAGATTTTGTATTGAATCGCCCTTGGGTCGAAAAATAATCCCGGGTGTTTGTATTCCGAACGTTGCAACAACAAACAAAAAAACGAGAAACCAATTGCGTCAGCCGACGTGACCCTGCGTATGGACAGATTCCCTGCGTTTGTCCACGAGTAACACCGAGCACACGAGAGACGTTCGTGCGTTTTGGGCCGATTTTGTATTTTCCAGGACACCCATTGGTACCTTTTTACGCTGCCGGCCTCGCCGTGCGATCTGTGGATTTTGCCGAACTTGTGGAAGGTCGTTCCAGGACGGTGCAAGGATAAAGTTTTTCTATGTCAGTGAACACCTTCATTTCGGCATCTTCCCGCAACACGTGCAGAGAAGGCTTTTGAGGTTGGCACTAAGTTTCCGCCCCTGCCACCTGACTTGGCCCACAGTTCCTCACTTTTTTCTCGGTTCCGAATAAATCTCTGCTTAAATCTGCTTCCTAAAGTCTCGCTGAAATTCTGAGAACTGCTGAGAACTGCTGATGCGGCTGTCTGCTCAGCAGCTATTTCTACTTTGTGGCCAAGGGATTTGTGTGTTGTTGTGCACTGGGTTAATTGCCCCCAGCATCTCAATGCACTTCCGATTAGCACGATTGGCTACGTACGGTATGAAAGAAGTTCAATATACATACAAAGCACCTTACATCATTGTGATGTCTCTGCAAATTCAATCATTCTGATGTCCCCCTAGTTTTCTTTTTTTCTTTTGGCCTCGGGGACTTTCCTGATGACAGCCGTCCCCTAATTATCAATTTGCTTTTTCTCTTCCCTGCCTTTGGAATGATGTCCAAAGTCACCGGGAACGCGGCCAAACGGTAGAATATTTAAAGTCAAAATGTCAAAAGAAAAACATTTGTTTTGCCCGAGCTGATACTGGAGCCGGGATTGATTGGCCAGTCGTTATCGTTGTCAATAGTTTTTATTGTTGAGCGGCCTGGGATACCGCTGCATGGTGACTGCGATAAAAGGTTAAGGCGCAGACCCTGCAATTGCCCACTCACGCCACTGCTGGCGAAAGGGCCTCCACTAGAGAAGGGGAGCTCTGTTTGAGAGTCCCGCTTAAAGGGCATTTGGTCTACTCTTCCACTGTGGTCAGACTTCTTGGAAGAGGTGGGACCCCCCACCCCTCCCCCATCTTTTAGAAGAGATCTAGCCAGCGTGAAAGAGGTGGGAAGATGTGAAAAACTTGTATCGTTGTTTCAACTGCCACACCCAGGAGTTGGAATCGAACCGGCGACCTCTGGTTTGCAAGTACGGTGTCTTAACGATTGCACCGCGGCAGAAGAATGTGGATAAAATTATAAACACATCCAACCAAAACTGTGTTGTGGTACAAGTGTACAGCAACAGAAAATACCATAATTGTTAATCGCTTGTTGTTGCGATCGAAACGTCGTGATCTGTTATTTCTTTCTTTTCTTATGCCACGTGACTTTACCGAAAGAACCTAAGAGTGTGAAATCCTGCAGTCACGAAAGCTTCTAATCAAGATTGGTCATATTTTATTTAACCATTGCTTTTCTCTCTTACCAGAAAATATAAACCAACAGTTCTCACGGCTATGATTTGGTGGTTTAAAGGAAGCGCCGCTGTTGGTAACTTTGGGGGCGGAGGCGCGACCCAGCGGCAGCGGTTCGCGGCTCGAATCTGGCAGGCCACCCTGGTTATCACTCGGGCGCGATTCGAAAATTTGCCAAATTCGATGAATAATGACGCCGTAAATGACTCGACCGGGGTTACACGCGGCAACAACGGCGCTCCCTCCCTACATGCCGGCAGGCGGCGCGACGCAACGGGACGCCGTGTGAGCGGCGCGAGTACCACGCGTGCTAAATTATTATCAAATATCAATCGTGGATTTTATTTTTCTCACTCCCAACGCACCCTCCCCCTCCCCCCGGGCCTCACCGCGTTGCGACCGCGGCTGCCCGCAGTGGGATGAAGGCTGCCGACGCCGTGCGGAGTTACCTGGCCGCTGTCAAGACTCTGGAGCTCTACGGAGTGGAGCTGCATTATGCCCGGGTACTGCTCCGCACGCCGATTCGCAGTCGCTATCGGAATCTTCCATTTGGACTGCAGGAAGGAATCCAATCTCTTTCACAGTCGTCCAGTATGGGCGGGTCAAGTATCCAGCATGGGAGCGTGGCGGTGGCGGGATGATAACTACCTCTGCGTGTCTCTGTGTTTCTGTGTGTCTCTCTGTATTTATGTGAGTATGTATCTCTCGTGTTTCTATGGGCTTGCTATATGGGCCACAGTTTGAGTTTCATGGCCACAATCGCACTACTGGGGCTTGCCTTTAATGTACTGTATTTCTGCTGTGTGTCTCTCTACGTATTTCTATGAGCCTCTAGGGCGCCACGGTGGTGAGATGTTAACTACCTCGCCTGTATGCAGGAGGTTGTGGGTTTGATCCCAACCCTGACACCTGTGTAATTGGACTTTGCATGTTCTCCTCGTGGTCGCGTGGATTTTCTCTGGGTCGTTCGGTTTTTCCCTCCACATTTTAGATTGACCTTGCATTTTTTTTATGGGCGTGGTACGTGCGTGTGCGGTACGTGCGTGTGCGTGGTACCTGTGTGTGTGTGGTACGTGTATGTGGTGCGCGTGTGTGCGCGCGTGGAACATGCGCCGTTTGATCCGCTGGGCCTCTCTCTCTAGCAGGACGGCAACAATCTGGAGGTGATGCTGGGCGTCATGGCCACGGGGATGGTCATCTACAAGAACGGCATTCGCATTCACCTGCCCTGGTAAAGCACCTGCACTGCCACCACCTCCACCACAGAACCCCCCCACCACCACCACCGCCTCTCGCATTGCATGGCACCGGTCATGATGATGGCAGAAGCAAAGTGTGCCAATGTCGAGGTCTGCTTCTGGCCACGACGGGAGGGCTTCAGCAGTGAGAGAGAAAGTTCATGTCGCTTTGCTGTTACTCCTCCTCCGTGAAATGAGCGTGCAGGTTACCAGAGTGGTGTTTATTATAATATGGTCCACAGTTTGGTTGCACGGTGACAATCGCACGACTGCGGCTCCGTGACTCTGAATTTTTTTTATTTACGAAGGAGATGTGATACGGCGTCGACCTGCCGACGTTTTGATGCGGTTGATTGGTTCCACCAGCAGTGTCGAAGCCAGGATTGGGGGGTGGGGTGGAGTGCAATGAAGTTTGGGTCTCGAATAGGGCAGGCGTTTATTCTGGACGTCCACTTTGTTTCCACGCTGTTCACGCAGCAGTAGCAGCAGCGTTCTGCCGGATGTGGGTGAGCTTCTCTCGGGTGGTGACGGCGCCGGTTTGAACCGTCAAAGTCTCGCCGAGTCTGAAGACGACTCTTTTTCCCGACAAGTGTTCGCTGCAGCGGTTGATGTTCTCACGTGTCATCCCAATTGAGGAATTTGATTTGAGATTCTTTATGATGAATAATAATAATCTGCGTGGATGGGGAGTCAGATGGAGATGAGAGGGGGCAGAGGTCTGCGATTGAAAAAGACAAAATTAAATGTATTTAACATCTCGGTGATTCTGTCAATTGTCACGGTTCGAGCTCACGATTCGATTCAAGAATCTACGATTTAATTTTTTGTTAGCACAGTTTACGTCATCTTTGTATCATTTTTTTTTATTCTGGCCCGTTTGTATCGTTTTCTTGGTTCCCTTACCTCCAATGTAACACTGGCATTTCATTTGTTGTCTCATCAATTGCATGAATATAACATGATGATGATGATATAATCATGCTCAAGTTATTCCAACACTCAACCCTCACAACCCAGAGGAGTCCAGTCTTCGATCCAATGGCAAAATCGTTGCGTGCGGTTTGTTGTAAAATATATATATTTTTTACACCGCCTTCCATTCGTCCAATTCGACCGCGCGTCTTCACGGCGTCTTGAAAAGCGAACGTCAACAATGTAGCGGTACAAAAGAATGTAGCCGTACAACAGAAAAAAACTCGAAGTATCTCACGCACGCACGCACGGCCTGTGACACAACTCCCTGCGTGTGTAGACCCCTGGGGACACTGTACCAGTTCCCACCTTAGACAGATCGTCATCGCCGGGGCAGGCGCAATGTGCGTGGCTCGATTTGGACTTTTGCGGAGAAGTTTGGCCGACGTGGAAAGTTAGACGGTGGGGGTGGGGGGGATAGGCTGGGGCTGAGGGGGGGGGCGGGGTGCAGTGGAGCATGCTTGGGCTGGGGTTTGGGACCAACCCTGACACCTAACCACAACACTCCCCCCCCGTCTCCATCCCCCCCAAACCTTCCCCTACCATGAGCTGTACCTACAGGAAATCTGCAGTGGTTAAACAGAGTTAACGGAATTTTCCATACGTGTTGTAATCGCAACTGCTCTTTTAAAAGTGCGCTTCATTAAGGACTGCCGTTGATGTGCGCGTGCGTGCATTTTAAATGCGCGCTTAGAAACAGTTGCCCACGACCCTGGCCGCCCTGCGCCGTGCACAACGTTCGATCGCGAGCGGGCGCCTCGACTCTTGCCTGGGATCACCCACTTTGCTCGACTTGGTGTTGGACGAGTAGCCGAGGTGGCCGGGTCGCTCACGGGGTCAGAGCGCCGAGCCGACGTCGCCGAGATGCCTCGGCGGCGAGACGTTAACTCCCTCGCCCGGTATACAGGAGGTCGTGGGTTCGATCCCGACCCTGACGCCGGCTGCTGTATATTTGGAGTTTGCGTGTCTCTCTCTCATCATCATCACGGTGGCTAGGAGACGTTAACTCCCTCGCCCGATATACAGGAGGTCGTGGGTTCCATCCCGACCCTGACGCCCGCTGCTGTATATTTGGAGTTTGCGTGTCTCTCTCATCATCATCACGGTGGCTAGGATACGTTAACTCCCTCGCCCGGTATACAGGAGGTCGTGGGTTCGATCCCGACCCTGACGCCTGCTGCTGTATATTTGGAGTTTGCGTGTCTCTCTCTCATCATCATCCTCACGGTGGCTAGGAGATGTTAACTCCCTCGCCTGGTATACAGGAGGTCGTGGGTTCGATCCCGACCCTGACGCCTGCTGCTGTATATTTGGAGTTTGCGTGTCTCTCTCTCATCATCATCCTCACGGTGGCTAGGAGATGTTAACTCCCTCGCCCGGTATGCAGGAGGTCGTGGGTTTGATCCCGACCCTGACGCCTGCTGCTGTATATTTGGAGTTTGCGTGTCTCTCTCCCTGTGGTCGTGTGGATTTTTCTCCGGTTCCTCTGCGTTTTCTCCCCCACTTTTCGAATCAACGTCACGGCGTTTAAGAGTATTTGCCTGCTGTATATTGCCACATTGATAAGCCACTTGGTTGAGGTTAAATTTGTTTGATGGGTCGGTCGCTTCTGATAAAGAGCTGTATCACTCAGTGGGGTATTACTTGGTAAAATACAAAAAATAGATCCTGGGTTCGAATCTGGGATAAGGCCACTGCCTGTGAATAAAACCGAATTCTCAAGTTGAGGTGCAGCTGATAGCACAAGACCAGTCTACCGTAGAGACCTATCCATAGACTCGGAGAGTCTTAGTTGTGATTAAGCTGGGCTTTCAAGTGTAGTTGGTTGTCAGCGCAGTCACCAATGACTACACACACACACAAAAACCCCATGAACATTACATTTATTAGGTTTTTTCGGTAAAGTCACGTAGGTAAAAAATAAAATTAAAAGTTAATAAAAGTAATAATGGAAATAAAATAAAATAATGAATTATTATTTTATTTCCATTATATACCGAAAAAACCTAAGAGTATGAATTCTTGCAGTCACGAAAGCTTCAAATCTAGAATTACATTTATTTTTCACTTGGGGGAATTAAGCCAATAAAATCGGTTTGACAAAATTTCAGCTTCGAGAATGAAAATGTTTTTGGGTTTGATTGATGCGGGACAATAATAATTACATGCAGGAACCTGAAAAAGGTGTGGGCACAGACGTCTGTGTGAGCGGTTTGAGAAGTAGTTCTGTGGCGTCCTCTTCCGGGGCAGTTCCCTCACACAGGGCACCGCCCCCCCACCGCCTCACCCCCCCCACCGCTACCACGCGGTGTAAAGTGAACAGCACAGTTGGAATGAAATGATGAGAGCAAAACATTTCAGCTTCGGCGCCGGGAAGACAAAGGTGGCTCGGCTGTGGCGATCACCCTTTTCTTTTATCCGCCCCCTTACCCCACCGAGTACCGTGCCGACCACGTGTAGGTTCCTGCTCGACCGTTGGCTGTCGCCCCTTCGAACTATGTCACCACCACCACCGCCACCATTGCCACGGTTACCAACACCACCGTTAGCTACCGCCAGCCGCACTTTGTTTACGATGCATCCTTGCACAATTTCAAACGTGTCGTAAAGTACCGTGCCCACCAATGCACTCTGTTTACCCCGTGACTCACCCTCCACTTCTCTCGTCCGCACCCCTCTCCCCCTCCCATATATCCGCCGTTTTTTCATTCCTCTCCACCTGTCAATATTTTTCGTTGGCCAAGCCGCCGCGGGCATCGATCACTCGCTCCCTCGCTCGCGTGAATTGGGTCATCGCAACGGCGAGCATTTGCTCGCAGCTCGGCCGGCCGATGCAGCGAAGCCACGCCGGCTTTTGTTTTGGGGGGGTTTACGTCCGGGAGAGAGAGAAGAGAGGGAGAGCAGGGGGGGGGGGCGGTGGTTCGTTAACATTTCACGTTGCGAGGGAGAAGGGTGCGAGTCTCCCGTATTTTGGGGCGGGGGGGGTGGTTCTTAAAATCGTTTGTGAACGGCACCGGTGGTAAACTGAATGGAGAAATAACTAAAAACGGCCCTGTAAAAGCTGTTATTGCTTTTGATGACAGATGATGTCACCGGGCGATAAGCAAAACGTGTTTTACCTTTTTGACTGACAGACGAAGGGAGCGGCCTCAGCGATGGAATGGCGGCTTGCACCGCACTTGCAATGCAGAGGTCGCCGGTTCAATTCCATCGACGTTTCAACCAATGAGAGGAGTTTATTAAATACCCCCGCCCCTTCCCCCTGCCACTGTCCACACGACAGCGTAATTCGCTACCACCACAGTCAGTCGATCGGCCGGTCAACATAACACCGGTTGGCTACTTAGGGTGCGAAATACGTTCAACATACAAGACGCTCGGCCGTGGTCGGCGTGGACGAGGAGACCAAACGCCCTCCCAGGGGAGCTCCCGCTAGCGGAGGCCCATCCGCCAGCAGTGGCGCGAACACGCAGTTGCAGGGCTGCGCCTTTGCCTCCTCGCTGACAAACGCGGACAAATGCACTTGGGTCTACCGTGGATTTTGTTCGTTGGCGCGTGCCGATCAGTGCGTTCAAGCTGCCTGCAAACGGTTACCGGTCCCCCACGCCTTCCGGGAGCGGGTAACTGATTCTGAAAACGGGCAACCCCGGTCCGTCGTTTGAGAACGCCCCATCCCACATTCACCTCCTGCTCTTCCCCCCCCCTTGACTTCCCTGCGCTCAGGAAGAAGATCGTCAAGATCTTCTTCAAGTCGAAACAGTTCTTCATCCAGCTGGAGAGGCGGCCGGTGAGTGCCGGGGGGGCGAGATCAGCAACAATGATGTGGCGACGTTTATAACTAAGCCATTTTTTATTTTTTATTTTACCAGGTTAGAAGGCCCATTGAGCTAGGTAGCTCTGACTTGGCCATCGCAAATGATAAGCTCTACGAAGTGGCTCATCATCGCGAGGAAATTTATAGCGGCCGATAACTCTGAACGCGTGACGTTCATTCTAGATGTGGAGGTAAAAAAAAAAACGGAGGACCCGGAGAAAAATCCACGTGACCACAGGGAGAACACGCAAAGTCCCAATATACAGCAGGGTCGGGATCGAACCCACGCCGCCTGCTGTTCGCCAGGCGAGGGAGATAACATCTCACCATCGCGGCGCCCTTGTTTGCTGAGCTTTGCGGTTCAAACCTAGAAGGCCGCCCTAGTTAATGCTGCGGGTGTATTTCCCTGTAAAATCCGATGCGGCGTCGTGGTTCGCGGTGGAAGTTAAGAACCCCGTGGCGTCATTCGTGAAGTGTCGGCCGCTGTGTGCCGGCATCACGGGTGCGATACGTTCCAAATTTTAATGAAATGGCGCCAATAATTGCTCATTGCGGTTAGGCACAGTAACATTAACCCATGCCACTATAAGAATGGCACAAATACCTGATTATTATTCATTGTTAAATGCTCTTTCGTGACGGTCAATGCTCGGCCAGGCCTAGCTTTATGAAAAGCAATGATTCAGTTCGGCTTGTGTGTGCGCACGCACGCACGGAGGTGTGTGTGTGTGTGTGCACGGATATGTCTACGGCTGGTGTCATCACCCTTCGATGAGTACCTGGTGCGGTGTCTAAACATCACCATTGGGGAGACAAAGGCGGCTGGCCACACCAGCACTTGCCAGTCTGACCACAGTGCCCCTCCCCTCCCGTCCCGGCCTCCCGCATTCCCAGATGGAAATGCGCGACAACATCCTGGAGTTCCACATGGAGAGCTACCGGCTCTGCAAGGGGCTGTGGAAGGCGTGCGTGGAGCACCACTGCTTCTTCCGGACCCAGAGGCAGCCGGGCTCCAGCTCCGAGAAGTCGCTGCTGGGGCAGATCTTCACGCTGTCGCTCTTCAAGTGAGGACTTTGGGGGGAGGGGGGGGGGGGGGCAGCGTGAGTGCAGGGGGCAGGGGGACAGGGGGGCCCACACTTGCACTCGTAGGCCCACGTACAAAGTTCCGCGTAGCAAGCGGCGACATTTTTATTTGCTGCGCTGCTGCCTGCAGCACAGCACGGCCTCGGCTGACGGCGCGCGGCGTCCTTGCTCCCCCCCCTCCCCCCCCGTTCACGCGCTCGGCGCACTCCGTGTTGACCCCCTCCCGCCTCCGTTGCGGCCACGCAGGGGGAGGCCGGATTCAGTTCATCGCGACAGCTCGGAGAGAATCAACGGGAGCCGCGCCGTCAGCAGGTGAGCCCGCACGCCCCGCCCGCGGGATCGCTTGAGCAAACCCCGTGATGCGGCCCTGCCTCTGTGCGCGTACGTTTCGTTATCGCCCGCGCCAGCTGACTGCGCGTGCCTGTTCGCGAATGACATCATCACCGGCGCGTGCGCGTTGCCACCCGCGGCGGCTGACGCGGCTCTTTCCGCGCGTGCGACCGTCCCCCTCCAGGAAGTCGTCGTCGGGTCGCTCGGGCCTCGGTTCGGGCGACGGAGATCGCGTCGGCAGCGCCCAGTGAGCGTCGCACCAACTCGCAGCACGTCACACCCACTAGCAGCACATCACACCACCAACTCACAGCACCAACTCGCCCCCTCCGCCGATCGCTCGTTAGCGCCCACGTCCTCTCACGACGCTTTCCGTCTCTGTTTGCTGCCACCCGTTTGCCCGAGGAGGCTGGCGCGGCGGAGAAACAGCGACGAGATCTGGGACCGCAGTGCTCGGCTCTCGGGTTCCGAGAACTCCTCCAGCCCGCCCTCCCCGACGCTGCTGACGTACGTCTCTGCACGCAGCGCACCGCCAGCGATCGCACTCGGAACCGGTTCTGGATCTCCCGACGGTCTGCTCGGCCTACTTAAACGAGCACCAGTGTGTAAACATCAGCATTGGGGCGTGTTGCTGGACACCCTCCGCCCCAGTGTGCCGTGACGGCACTAATAGGTGCTCACTAACAGCACTTGCCCCAACAGTCTGTACAGCTATGGGGGTAGGGTGGGGGCGGTGGGGACTTCTTTGCCCCTTTGTGTGTGTGTGTGTCCGTCAAGCAGTAGCGTAGCGGGTAGCGCGCTGCGCTACGAAACCGGCGACCCAGGTTCGATTCCAGCTCACGGCCACCACCAGTGACGATTATCTGAACTGGTCCTTGGCCTCCCCTGGGTCGACGCGGCCTTAAACGAGTACCTGGTGTGATGTGTAAACATCGCGTCACCCTCGTGTGCCGGTCCGGCCTTCATAGGTGCTCGCTAAAATAACTTGCCCCAACAGTCTAGTAAGGCTACACGGAGAGGTTTTTGTCTTTGTCGTGCATTTGCATCGGCGCTGTTTGCTCCTGGCAGGCCGTCGGGTTCGTTCCAGCGCAGCCTGCGCACCGCCAACTCGCTGGGCGACCTCAGCCGCCGCGTGGTGGGCGGCGTGACCCTGCGGCCCCTCCGCGCGGCCTCCGTCACGCGCCTCGACTCGCGACAATCGCTCAGGTCGGTGCTCGCCGCGCCGACCAACCGGGGCGGGGTGGGGGTGGGTTTATGATGATCGCGGTGAGCCCGGGCCCAAGGTCACGCGCTTACCTTAAACTATTTTTTTTTACCGTTTGTTGTTTGTTACCAAGTAAGAAGGCCCACTGAGATAGAGCTCAGAAGCGACCTGGCTTTCACAAATGGTAGCTCAACGAAGCGGCTTATCGTCACGTGGACATTTATAGCAGCCAAAATACTCCGAAGCGTGATGTTGATTCTAAATGTGGAGGGAACAACTGGAAGATCCGGAGCAAAATCCACGTGACCACGGGGAGAGAGAGAACACGCTGCTGCTGCTGCACGAGAGTATACAGGATTCAGGGTTGGGATCGAGCCGACGACCTCCTGTATATCAGGGAATGTAGTTAACATCTCGCCAAATGTCCAGTAGGGGCGGGTCGAAAGGTTACAACAATACAAAAAGCGATAGAAAGTGCAAAGTATATTGGAAAGGTAAGCAGAATATATATTAAGTTCAAATTGCACAGGTACATTGTCCCAGCAGCATGCCTGCCCGACTGTCTCCCAAGTGGCGATGTTTACACACCCACACCAGCTACTCATTTGAGGCTGAGTCGACCTAGGGGAGGCCCAGCACCGGTTCAGATAATCGTCATCGGTGTCGGTGGCCGTGAACGGGAATCGAACTCGGATCTCCGGGTTCTCAGCGTAGCTCGCGAACCACTACGCGACTGCTCCCCACCTACATGCACAGGCATACGCACTTGCAGGCACACTTGCTTGCACACAACTCTCACAGTGAATTCGCACGTGAAAAAATTGATCAAGCGGTTTTATTTTCCCTCCTGTATTTTCATACTCGGCGAACATAAGATATAATGTGTCTACATCTCTGCCAAACACACACAAAGATCAAAGATCCCCCGTATAGCCTTAACAGACTGTAGGGTCAAGTGCTGTTAGCGAGCACCTATGAAGGCCGGAACGGTACACGAGGGGGTGGGTGGCCAGCACCACGCCCGACCGCCTTTGTCTCCCCAGTGGCGATGTTTACACACCGCACCAGGTACTCGTTTAAGGCTGAGTCGACCTAGGGGAGGCCCAGGACCGGTTCAGATAATCGTCACTGATGTTAGCCGTGAGCGAAAATCGAACCCGGGTCGCCAGGTTCATAGCGCAGCGCGCTAACCACTACACTACCGCTCCCCACTACACACGCTCACACACACGCTCACACACGCTCACTCAAACAGCCTGCAGAGGTTTTCCGTGGCCGAGTTCCGAGCGCCGGGGCAGACGTCCAAGGTGCGCAACGGAAGTGTGTGCCGCACGCCAAGCCACGCCAACTCGCACGAGGGCCTGCTCAACTCCCCCTCCAGCCGGTCCTACGACATCACAGATCTCACCAGCAGCGGCTCTGGACAGGTGTGCCACACTCGCGATTACCTGCATGAGAGATGTCTACTGCTGTTTTGCTGCTGCATGGGAGATGCCTGCTGCTGTTGCTGCTGCATGGGAGATGCCTGCTGCTGTTGCTGCTGCATGGGAGATGCCTGCTGCTGTTGCTGCTGCATGGGAGATGCCTGCTGCTGTTGCTGCTGCATGCCGCTACTGTTGCTGCTAGTGTAGGCCGAGCTTGTGTACAATCGGCGTTAATTTGCATCCTAATGTTCCCATCACGAAAATGACGGTGGGCCATGTGACCCACACTATGGACCGTATCGTAAACCACGGTTAACTACGCTCCTTCAACAGAGGAGATATAGCAAAGCTAGACGAACTCTGTCTCTCCTGAAGCCTTCTTGTCTTCTTTCGCACCGTACGTAGCCAACCGTGCTAATCGGAGGTGCGGGGGAAGCTACAACAAACTAAACACAAAAAGCAGTTTTAATGAACTGAGTTTGTCATTGTCAATGTCAATGATTTAAAAGTGCACAGCGCCTTGGTCCCGCAGACCACGATGTTAGAATCGAGTTCCTGGAACACATTCATGCTGCCGGCGGACGCAACAGAACAGAGCCGTGCAACTAAACAGACGTCACGGCGTCTTAAACCGCAGCGGCAACGATTCCTCCCCCTGGCGTGTGTCTCCCCCCCCCCGCCCCACGGGTTATATATATATTGCCTTTCTACTCCACTCATTCCTCTCCTGGGCCCAGCGTCTCCACGTCCACTCGAGCAGTCCTTAGCATCGTGATCGTACGCTCGACGAAGAAGAGCCGTCGCCCTGAACGTCACTTTCTTGAATTTTAAGGCCACAGTGTTGTGGACGAATGTGTCGAGCTCTTGCTATCCTGGTTCACCTATCGCGACATCGTCTCTCTATAGATCTGCCTCTCCGGGTCCTCCGCGCTGGCGCTTGAATTCGTCGTCTTGGTTGTCCGCGTTACTGGAATGTCCTCCGTCCCGGCGGAGCGGTCACTGTGATTTTGACGTCGGTTTGCGTTCGTTTCACAGCTCAACGGTGCCGATCCTTACGAAAACCTGGTGCTCATACGGATCAAGCAGGACGACAACTGCAAGTTCGGCTTCAACGTGAAGGTACCGGCGTCTAATCTTGCGCAAATAACAATCGGCGGGCGCCCCTTGCACCAATCCACTGCTGGATGAGGGCTGCCCCGCGAATCATCACTCGCGGTTGTCGTTCAACCCACGCTTCACCACGCTGGTCAGTGCGGGTTGGTGAAGGCGGCAAGCGTAGCTGTGGAAGCGTCGAAGTGCAGTACAACAATGGACTATTGCTACGCTGCCCTCTACGTCACTCCTCCAGACATACGGCAGCCTGTGTTCGTGTGTGTCGGTCGCCTCCTATCTGAGCACCATGCAGGCCCCAGCCTGCTTAGCTTCTGAGATCTGACGCGAATGGGCGCAACCCCGGGCGGACTCCGTTGTAGGCCCTTGTTGCGTCTGTGCGTCTCGCTGCGACACGCGGGTGGGCACAGAGAGAGAGAGAGGGTTCCCTGGTGGCTAGGAGATGTTAACTACCTCACCTGGTATGCAGGAGGTCGTGGGTTTGATCCCGAATCTGACGCCTGCTGTGTATTTGGAGTGTGTATGTCTCTCTTCCCGTGGTCGCGTGCATTTTTCCCCGGGTCCTCGGGTTTTTTTCTCCGCATTTAGAATAAACATACGTTAAGAGTATTTGGTTGATATAAATATACACACGAAGATAAGCCACCTCGTTCAGCTATCCATGTGTGGCCAGGTTGCTTCTGAAAAAGAGCTACATAGCTCAGTGGGCCTTACCTGGTAAAACAATAATACTTTATAGTTTCATATTCTTGGTTCTTTCGGTAAAGTCACGTAGAAGGGAAATAATAAAAATAATAATAAAGTTCTTACGACGTTTCGGCCACAACGCAAGCAGCCGTCATCAGGTGAAGAAACAGAGCTATTGGAAAGACAGCATCCTAATGAACACTGCTAAGCTGGTGCAGTTCATCCTCATTAGGAGCTGTCTTTGCGACAGCTCTGCTTCTTCACTTGAGGACGGCTGCTTGCGTTGTGGCCGAAACGTCGTGAGAACTTTATTATGTTGAATTTTGATTATTTTATTATTTCCCTTCTACGTGACTTTACCGAAAGAACCAAGAATATAAATCCCTGCAGTCACGAAAGCTTTAAATTTGAAGTTTATAGTTTGTAAAATAGATCTAGATGCCGCCGCCGCCGCCTGCTGCTGTGCCGCTGACCCGTGCCGCGTGTGTGACGGCCGTGTCTGTGGCAGGGAGGGTCCGACCACAAGATGCCCATTATCGTCTCGCGCGTGGCCCCGGGCACGCCGGTGAGTGAAGGAAATGACGTCGCCAGTTGGCGGTTTTACGTCATACGCAGGACATAACCGAGACAACATTTTGTAGGTTTACTCCCAAGCACACGGACAGGTTTTACAAATTCCCAATGGTTGGTGGTGGTGTTTTCACGGCTGCCGAGTAGAGGCCCCAGCATATCCCAAATGCTCGAAAAAAAATTGCCGCTGAAATATATAAAGCGTTAAGAATTGATCGCGTTGATGACAACTTGGGAAGGCGTTCCAAGCCAAGCAGAAAGAGAAGTGTTGTGACCTGCAGTGTGGCGATTGGGTGGGTGGGTAAGCATGCTGCGATCTATAGCCATAGAAGATCTATAAGGGGGCGACCGGCCGCGCGGGTGAACTAACGATGCCCGCTGCCTGCGCCAGGCGGACTTGTGCGTGCCGCGGCTGAACGAGGGCGACCAGCTGGTGCGGGTGAACGGCCGCGACGTCTCCCGGTGCAGCCACGAGGAGGTGGTGCAGTTCATCCGCTCCAGCTGCCAGGGCGGTGGCCACGACGAGCTGCTGCTGCTCGTGAGGCCCAACGGTGAGAGAGGCGCGCTCGGTCGGGTGGGGGGGGTTTTAACGACGACGATAACAATGAGAACATACAGGGAAAATGGATACGAATCTCGCATCGCTTACGGGCGTTCTTACCGTGTGTTTTAGACGAGGGGGGGCGTTTAAGAAAGACACCCACAGCATTTTGGATAAAATCGCGGTACATTGTGGGCAAATGGACGAGAAAAACGACCCTGCCGATGGCAGAACCGCTAAATGCGCAGGAGGGAAGGTGAAGTTGATGGGATGGGGCTCCACTGTGTTCAGGGCAGCGCGGTGGCGAAATGTTAACTACCTCACCCGGTATACAGGAGGTGTGTGGGTTCGATCCCAGCCCTTGACAACAGTATATTTGCAGTTTGCCTGTCTCTCCTCTCCCCGTGGTCGCGTGGATTTTTCTCCGGGTCCTCCGGTTTTCCCCCTCCACATTTTAAAATCAAACGTGCGTTTAAGAGTATTTGTCTGCTATAAATTTCCACGTGATCGGCCACTTCATTGAGTTATCATTTGTGCTGGCCAGGTCGCTATACAGAATATATTACCGAGTAAAAATTTATTTTTTAAAATAATTCCCTTTCTGTGCTCCCCGTCTCCTGCCCGGGGCAGCCGTGTACGGCGCGGATGAGGAGGAGGATGACGACGACGAGGTGGACAGCGAGCCCGACTTCCAGTACACGGCGCTGGAGCCCGCGGAGCCTCACGACGGCGGCAGTGAGGGCGGCCAGGACGCGCTGCGCCTCTCCATGGAGCAGCTGGAGCGCGACCTGGAGGCCAGCATCGCCGTCGAGCAGTTCGAGGTGGCCTACACACCCACACACAAAGATCCCCCCCCCCACCCCCCTTGTGGCCTTAGCAGACTGTGGGGGCAAGTGCTGTTAGCGAGCAGCTATGAAGGCCGGCACGGCACACGAGGGGGTGGTTGGCCAGCACCACGCCTTTGTGTCCCCAGTGGCGATGTTTACACACCGTACCAGGTACTCATTTGAGGCCGAGTGGACTTAGGGGAGGCCCAGGACCGATTCAGGTAATTGTCACTGGTGTTGGCCGTGAGTGGGAATCGAACTCGGGTGGCCAGGTTCGTAGTGCATCGTGCTAACCGCTACACCACTGCTCCCCACACACCCGCATCGCCTTCCCCGCATCGCCTTCCCCGCACCTACAATCAGCATGGTTGGCTGCGTATGGTACGAAAAAAGTTCAACATACAGGGTGCTTAAAAAAAATGTTAACATTTGCAACAATGCCACGAGAAATGTGCCTCCGGGCTCTGGAGACCACCTGGAGAAGATTCCAGGCAACGCGTTGACAACGATGGCGAACAAGTGAAGACTTTTTACCTTTTGAAACTATAAACATACATTTGTTATCGTGTCACAGTGTAGTCTTATCCGTTCGTTTTCCATTAAAATCGATAGTCCCATATAAGTGTAAAAAAAAATTAAGCACCCTGTATATATACACACGGACAGTTGGGGCAAGTGCCTTTAGCGAGCATGGCACACCTTAATCAAAGGGTGGTGTAGTTGGCACCATGCTCGGCCGCCTTTGTCTTGGCGGTGCCGATGCATCAAGTACTCATTTAAGCCCGAATCAACCTCAGCGTGGCCCAGGACCAATTCGGATAACACGTTCCTGCGGAGGGAGCTGGTAGGAACGTTGGGTTGCTCGGTCAATGGCCAGGGTCAACGGCGGCGTGGTGTATTCCGCAAATATGCCCGACTGAGGGCGGGCACAAGCCGGCGTGAGTAGGTTAAACGTTGAGTTTTATAAGGGGCACCACCCTCCCCACCCAGCTCCTCCCCACGCAGCCCTTCCCTGCACGACGGACGGACACAATAATCCCCTGTGGGCTGGTGGAGCCAGTGAGTTCATATCAGTATTAGGAGGGTTTGTAGCAGCAGTGAGTGAACCACTGCATTACCGCTACCCACAAAGACTCCCCGCCCCCGTATAGCCTTAACAGGCAGTTGGGGCAAGTGCTGTTAGTGAGTAGCACCTGTGAAGGCCTGTGCGGCACACGAGGGAGTAGGCACATTTGTTTGCTTATTCGTTCAATGGGAAATATTTTGCTAATTTGGTTATTGGCAAACATTTATGAGTTAAGGCTTAATTCACGTGTTTGTTCATTAATTCGCGATCAATTTATTGGTGTTCATTATCCTGTCAATTCATTCGTGTAATTATTACTCATAGATATTTCTGATCAATGCGTTCACGTTGATTAATTCACTGTCCATCTTCCCGTGCTTCCACAGCCATTCGTGGGTGAGCTGTGTGGTCTTCACCCTTAGCACGCGCCCCCGCTCACTCCCCGGGCCCCGCTGCGCTCTCTCTCCTCTCTCTCTCGCAGGACCTGTACAGGAAAAAGCCCGGCATGAGCATGTCATGCGCCCGGTTACCCCAGAACGCCGGCAAGAACCGCTACCGCGACATCTCACCATGTGAGTTGTCGTCTTTGTCCGTTGACGGGGTTAGGGATCACTTCGGCTGCCGTGAGCTGTGTTCCAAGAGACACCCGCAGGGGTACCTTGGTGAAAAAAAACGAAATTTAGAGCAGCGAGTAAATCATAACGCTCAAGTAACACAACAAATGTGCAAGTGTGAGTTGCTGCCGGTCTGTCTGTCTTCCCCCCTACACACACACCGCCACACCCGAAGCACAACCCCACCCCACCCACCCACCCTACAAAGTTCCCCCGTGTAGCCTTAACAGACTGTAGCGGCAAGTGCTGTTAGCGAGCACCTATAAAAGCCGGCACGGCACACGAGGTGGTGGGTGGGCAACACCACGCCCGGCCGCCTTTGTCTCCCCAGTGGCGATGTTTACACATCGCACCGGGTACTCAATTTGAGGCCGAGTCGACCTAGGGGAGGCCCAGGACCGGTTCAGATAAACGTCACCACCTGTGTTGGCCGTGAGCGGGAATCGAACCCGGTTAGCCAGGTTCGTAGCGCAGCGTAGCGCTAACCACTACACTACCGCTCCCCACATCCTACACCCCCCCCCAACACACCCCCAACACACCCCCCCACACACTACAGCTGCCCAATCGCGGGGGAGGGGGGAGTGCTCACGCCTCTCCGCGCGTGGTTCTTGCAGATGATGACACCAGGGTGTTGCTGTGCGGGGAGGACGATTACATCAACGCCAACCACATCAACGTGAGTTCACCCCCACCCCTCCCCGTTGCCGCTCGCAACTGCAGCTGAAAGGTGTGGTAAAATTGCCACGTGTCTATAGGTGTGGTATGGACCCTCTCTTCTTACACAGAGGTCCAATTTAACACGTAGGCTTTCGCGACCAATATTATTAATAATAATCATTTTTGGAAAATTGCCCGATGATGCTGGATGTAATTAACAGCGAAACGTCGTAATCAAAAATTGTAAATGTTGTGGATTCACTCTTCAACACACCGGTGGGCTAAAGCAGTGAACCATTTGTCTTTTGTCAACATGACACATTTTTGCTGATTGCCCGTGTCGGACGGTGGAGGGTTACGACACATTTACAAATAACGCGATCTAACCCAAAAACGTTTATTATGAACAGAGGTCCAAGTTCGTAAAACAACATTTCTTTAGAACCTGCTCTTTGTGTTTAGTTTATTGTCCTTGCCCCCCCGCACCTCCGGTTCGCACAGTGGGCTACGTACGGTGCAAAAGAAGTTTAACGAACAGTAGAACCCCTCTTGACGACCACCCCTGTTAACAACTAATCGCTTAACGACAGGCCTCTATAGAGCCCACTGTGTAGTGTATAGTGTAATGTATAGTGTAGTGTATAGCAGTGTAGTGCCTCTATAGAGCCTAGTGTATAGTGTATAGTAGTGTAGTGCCTCTATAGAGCCCACTGTGTAGTGTATAGTGTAATGTATAGTAGTGTAGTGCCTCTATAGAGCCCAATGTGTTTGTTTACTGACCATTCCCCTGTTAACAACGGGCCGTTGTAGGAAAAGTAAATGTTAATTAATGCATCAATTAACCATGTTTCTTTTAATATTATGTGCTTATAATTTGTTAGTATCTTATGTATTAATCACTTGTTTAAATATGATCAAGTTAGTTTTTTGGGTGAAAAAGGGTAACTTTCCATGCTATCGGAACGACCGGTTCCGTGGAAGCAATTACCGTCGTTAAGAGGGGTTCTACACAGACATACAAAATATAAATCATTGTCTCCACAGAGATACGGTGAAGCGATAAAATCTGGGGGGAAAAGACAGACGGTTGAAAAAAAAAGCTGAACGTGCTCGCTGACAAGGGTGAGGCGGTGGTGCATTCTGGGTGTTGGCTTCCTGGTGGCAGATGGAGCTGGCCGACCGCGTGAATCGCTACATCGCCTGCCAGGGGCCCCTGCCCGCCACGTCGGCCGACTTCTGGCAGATGGTGTGGGAGCAGGGCAGCACCATGATCGTGATGCTCACCACCATCACAGAGCGCGGCCGGGTAGGTGCCAACACCACCACCACCACCACTGGCAACGCTGCCATGGACCAACATGACCACTCATGGTACCCCATCCAACACCACCACCACCGTCGTCGTCGTCATCGCCACCACCAGACTTTGCTACCGCTCAACCAACAACTTCGCTTGAATCACCACCGTGGCCCGCCCCCCTGGTTATTTTAGCTGCACAAATTCGCCCAGTCTACTTCGCAGCGGACGTTTAAAGGTAAAATTCTAGATGTGCGAAATGATTATTATCATGACCCAACCGTCGGCATCCAACCAACACCCATCAATCACCACGAGACTATTCATAGCCACGATGACCATTCATCACCATCCGAGTAACATCGTCAATGGGCACAGTTTTCCGTAACCTCCGTAACAGCTCAAGACGAGGAATCTCATGAGGTCACCTTGCGGTTAAATAAAAGGCGGCGCCGGATTTGAGCCAGGGGCAAGTTGAGGTGAACGTGCCCCGTGGTGCGAATGCGAATCTCATCGTGCCTCCCCCCCCCTTCCCACCTTCCCCCCCCCCCGCCCCCCCAGGTGAAATGTCACCAGTACTGGCCCAACCCGCCTGGCACGGAGACGTACGGCGACTATGTGGTGACTTGCGTCAAGGAGGACTGCAACCTTGCGTGCGTCTTCCGGGAGTTCACGCTCACCAAGAAGGTGAGCGACCACACCGGGGCAGGTGGGCGGGCAGGTGGGCAGGTGTGTGGGCAGATGTGTGGGCAGGTGTGTGGGCAGGTGGGTGGGCAGGTGGGTGGGCAGGTGGGTGGGCAGGTGGGTGGGCAGGTGGGTGGGCAGGTGGGTGGGCAGGTGGGTGGGCAGGTGGGTGTTTAAGGGGGTGGATGAGTGGTTGGATGGGAGGTTGGGGGGGGGCGATTGAGTAGGTGTGCTGTTGGGTAGGATTGCGACGAGCGGGTGGTGGGTACAGAAGGGTTGCAGTGTTTGATGATTGGGTAGATGGGCACACGAGTAGGGGGGGCAGGGCATGCCCACGGCAAGGGTCCTGTACTATTCTCGTCGCCACGGATTATTCTGGCACCCTGGGCGCCGCGCGCACAACCAAGCAAGCGTCACTTTTGCGTTTTGTAGGTGGCAAAACCGGCGAGCAGAGCAGAGGAAGTGGCGGAAGAACGGATCGAAGAGGAGAGGAAGGAGGACGGCGAAGAATCGGCGGTTGAAGGAGGAGAAGACAACGACGACAAGGAGCGGCCGAAGAAGCAGGAGGAGGCAGAGAAGGCGGAAGCCAAGGAGGTGGAAGCCAATGAGGTGGAGAAAGAGGAGAGTGAGGAGGTTGAGCCCGAGGACTGTGCGGACGCAGCAGCAGCAGCTATTGCTGCTGCCTCGGAGAAGGAGGAGGAGCGGCTGGTGAGTCACCTGCAGTACGTGGCGTGGCCGGACCACGGAGTCCCGGACGACCCCCACCAGTTCCTGCAGTTCGTGAAGAGCGTGCGGGAGAAGCGCACGGCGCAGCCCCCGCAACCAGTCATCGTGCACTGCAGGTACGCGGGCGACGTCAACACGCACCCCACGCACCCCACCGTGTCTTTCTCTCTCCCCCTCTCTACAGGGTGTCCCGTAAGTCTGCAATCGTAGGGAAAAACACAGCTCTGTGTTATTGGCTCGGGGTCTGGATGCAGTCTGTTAAATTCAACAGCGACCTCTGACTCCGATTTCCTCTGAGTATAATTATCTGGACATCTTTGGCCTGCAGAAACAGAAACATTAATTAGTTATTTTTCCCTACGATTGCAGACTTTTGGGCCAGCCTGCACATACACGGTACTGGGTATGATTTGTTTAAGTCGGGGTTACGTTCCTGGAAAACACGACTTACGGCAATGTTCACGGTGACCTCTTGACCCTGACCGTCGTGACGTCACGCGGCTGTCTGCAGTGCGGGCATCGGGCGGACGGGCGTGCTGGTCACCATGGAGACGGCGCAGTGCCTGATGGAGTGCTACAAGCCCGTGTACCCCCTCGACATCGTCAAGACGATGAGGGACCAGCGCGCGATGATGATACAGACATCCGTGAGCTACGCGCGCACACACACACCTTCATTCCAGTGCACATGCAGACACAAGTACTCACACACTGATATTTGGAAAACAAACACTCAAACTGTCACAGTCGCTCACATGCACTCAAGACGAAGATCCCCCGTATAGCCTCGACAGACTTTTGGGGCATGTGCAGTTAGCGAGCACCTATGAAGGCCGGCACGGCACACGAGGGGATGGGTGGCCAGCACCACCCCCGTTCACCTTCGTCATCCCTAAATAATCGTCGCTGGTATTGGCCACGAGAGGGAATCGATTGAGGGTCGCCGGGTTCATAGTGCGGCGCGCTAACCACTACCCCACCGCTAGGCCTCGGCAAGGTTAAGGTAAAAGTTAAAAGGTAAAAAACAACGAGCCTACCTTTTACCCTTACCCCATACACATTACCCGATTACAGGGTAATTACTGGGGTACTACTACACATGAACAAGGTTTATAACGGTAAATGCTAGTTAGAGCGCTTTATCCATATAGAATACTCTCGATGATTCCAATTTTACACGCTGTCTTTGAACTCACTCTGTCTGTTGTTGTCATTGTTGTCGTAGCTGTCGTATCCTCAAATCTTGTAACTCAATTTTAACCCACTTCCTAATGTGGTATCGACTGCAAACTTGGTATACGTATGTCATAATGGTGACAATACTATGTTATATCACTAAAAAAATACATATTTTTAAACGATCTTTTTTATATGTTATGTTTCGGTTTGGGTCTAATTGTCCACGCTCAACTCACGTTGGCTGTAAATCACCACGGTCCCTTACGTTATGACAAGCTTCGGGGCCACTTCCTGGAGTCGTGGAGTTCTGCCATTACGAGTACATTTTATAAAAACGTGTTTATTTTTTTAAGTTTGCTTTAATATTACTTATTAAATGGAGGCCACAGACTGCGCCACGGAGCTTCTAGCGGTTAAACAAGTTACTGTATTTACCGGGTAATACTTCGCGCTATTTTTACCCTACCGGGTAATTCTTCTCAGCTACCTTTACCCTACCTTTACCTTACCCCTTGGCATGTCGACACCTTTACCCTTTTACCCTGGTAAAAAGGGTAATTTACCTTACCTTGCCGAGGCCTACCCACCGCTCCCCATTATGCACACACTAACACGCGTTCAACAGCCGCCATTCGCCACGACGTGGCGGTGATGTCACGACTGCGCTTGTGCCAGGCTAGGTCCACATGCAATCCCGACTAAGTGTCTGTTCTATGGCTGCTGTGTGTGTGTGTTCCACCTGCCACCACCCCCTCCCCACAGTGCCAGTACAGGTTTGTGTGCGAGGCGATCCTGCAGGTGTACGAGGAGATGGTGTTCGAGGACCGCGGCAAGCCGGCGCGACCCACACAGTAACGCTGCCCTCCTCCGTGCGCAACACCCGGATTGCTCACGGCATCGGACTTTCTCGCGCGCGTTTGTAAGCGCGCAAGCACGACCAAAGGGAGCACGCGGAGACTCTGGGGTGGCCCAGCGACAGCTCCCCCCCCCCCCTCCCTTAACACGGATGCGACCCCCAACTCCGTCGGACGTTCAAAAGGCGGCAGCGGCAGTTAGCCGGGGAGACGTTCCGTCGCTCGAGGGACGGCGGAGTCCCGCCGTCACGGAGACTCGAGACGTCGTGTTTACGTTCTCACGCACTCCGCCCGCTCCTTCTTTACACGACGAGCGATTGCCGGCGATGCCAGCGGGCGTGCGTGGGGGCACCGCGCTACCCTTGGGCAGAGACTAAAACCTTTGTGCATTCAATCACACGAATGTTGTGCAAATATTTGTTTCACCCCCAACACCACCTCCTTTTGTAAAAAAACCTATCCAAGCCATGACCGAGTGACACCCCATCCCCACCGTGTCACGAGGTGTAAAAGAGCTTTAAAAGGAACGTTCCAGGAAAAGGGAGCCGGGAGAGTTGGCGACCGCATCGGGCGCACGTGCTCGCCCCCACGGCCTTAGCCTCCGCCACGCACTTCCACGACCTCAAGCGCTCAATCCCCACAGCCCCCCAAAACTCTCCAGGGTCGGAGTCGTGAACCTGCCCCCCACCCACCCATAGCTGCTGCCTCTCCGTCACCGCCCGTCCCAGAAAGAATGTATTTCAGACTTGGCGTTTACACGCACGACGTCGAGTCTCGCGTTGTGTCATGCGGCAGAGTGCTCGCGCTGGCGCGTTCGAGCTCGACGTTTGTGTCGCGTGGCGAGCCGCGCCATGAATGTTCGACGACAAAATGATCAGAACCCACCCCCCCCCCCCTTGCACCACCCACACCCTGATTGGCTACCGGTTCTCTTAACGTTTAATCAACGTTGTAAAATGTAACCAACCCTCACCATCGCTTCGGAGAAGCTTGAAGTGATGGCGGGAGGGGGTGCCATGTAAAGTTACTACGAAGGAGGGCTGTTGCCTGAAACGTTTCCGTTCATATTTTTTTCATTTTTAGGGCAGTGTTATCGACCAGCGGAATTGATTTTATCAAAGTCATCCAGTGTGAACCTACCCTGAGGAGGTGGCAGCCGGCTGTGTGCGTCAGCCAATCCACGCGACCAGCCCTGAAAAAATCCCATCGCCTTGTGAAGTCGAAAAGCATTTCCACGCTCGAGCGAGAGCGCAAGCCGGTGGTGCTCGCCTCCATGGGCAGGCCTTGAGCCGGTGGAGTAAACTCCACATTCCTAAGACGGGTGGGCAAAGTCCATCCGAAGGAGGATGGGACTCGGACCACCGTCGTCCACTTTACACTGAGGTACTCATTTGTTTCGACCCGAGAGGGGCGACGGGCCGAATGGACGCAACGAAATCGCTTCGAGGAAAGACAACGAAAACAAATCGTGCCTTCAGCAATGATGGTACCCCGATTACGACTACGCCATTTCACCGTGTTTGTTTTTTTACGTTTGAAAATCGGAATTGCACGTCGATGTTAAGCGGTACGGTATGATGCCTCACACGAAGGTACGGCCACGCCATAGTGGGGCGAGAGAAAGAGGTACCTTCGCCCCCCCCCCCCCCCCCCCCCGCTGCACTCTGGCACTTTACGCCTTAAAAGTCGCTCATCGTCAACACTGGACCTGACCTCCTGTGCGAGCGCCCCCCTCCCCTCCACCGCCCCCATCAACCACCCCCTCTTGGCAATCCCTCGAATAAGACTGATGGTGTATTCCAGCATAGTGTATATATTCCAGGATTGACAATGGATGGCGAGCAGACATGAAGATCGCTGCTTTGCTCCCGTCTTGACAAGGCCTCAGGTCGCATTCTTTATCGTGGCCTAGCTCAGGCTTGGGTCGCTCGGCTGTTCTCAAAGACGGGCTCGAGTTGAGCGCTTTCAAGCCGACTCGTTTGAGCCAGAGCCGAGCCTGATCCAGGCCGTGACTCCGAATACGGACTGCTGAGGTGGCTCGGGGTGTCCCGCTCCTCGACTTGCACACACACCCCCCCCACCTTATCCCCCAAACCCCCCCCCCCCCCCGCGTCACCCCATGTGACCTCTTGCCAACAAAACGACGGTACTTGTTTAGTTTTAGCTGTCGCGTGGTACTCGGCCTGTATTTAGCGCAAGCCATTTTTTGTTGTTTTTATTTTGTAAAAAAAAAATATTCAAAAGTTAACAAAAAGTTGCGTGACGACGACGATGAGGATTATCGCTTTGTACTGTTTTTTTGGCAGAGTCTGTCTTTCAAGCCTGTGGTTACAGAGGCAAAATTAACGATGCGATTTTTTATTTAACGTAAGTTCTAGACTGTATAGAAAATATAATTTTCTTTCCCTCCCCTGAAACCAATTCACAGATAAATATATATACTGAAGAACTAAAGTTCTAGAAGTTCTGTTTTTGCGCTGCTGTGCAGTTAACATTGTGTGGCCACCTTACTGCCTTAAGAAACTACTGATTAAACGTGTTTTGCAATCAGCCACCACTCCGTGTCGTGTTTCCCTATGTCGGCTGTTCGAAACATGGCAACGATAACGGAATGGACCGTGTAACTTTTGCACTGCCTGACATTTCAACATCAAGGTCGCGCGGTTTGTAGCCTGCAATGCTCCAACGCTCTGACGAAAGCAATTGAATGGTACTGGTAGGAACCTCCTAGTTACACCAGCCCACAGGGGATTATTGTGTCCGTCCGTCCGTCGTGCATCCAAAAATGGGAGGGGTGTGGCTGGGTGGAGAGGGGAGGGTGGGGAGGGGCTGGGTGGGGAGGGTGGGGAGGGGCTGGTCACCCCGTGGTGCCCTTATAAAACTCAACGTTTAACCTACTCACGCCGGCTTGTGCCCGCCCTCACAGTCGGGCATATTTGCGGAATACACCACGCCGCCGTTGACCCTGGCCGTTGACCCTGGCCATTGACCGAGCAACCCAACGTTCCTACCAGCTCCCTCCGCAGGAATGTGTTTAAATCGCACCGAATCTGGAAAGCAGCGGTTATTGATCCGTGGGGGCACACCAGCGGCACGCTTAAAGCGACGCACTAATGTATAACGTGAAGGGGGAAAAAACACGTAAACCAACTTGCTCGCTCTCAACAAAAAATACAAACGCTATATATTTCGAGCAACTTGGGATTTTTTTTTTTGCAATCAATGTTTTCGCCCCCTCAAATAAAAAGAGACGACTTGTTAAGAGGTTGCTTGCCAAAAAAGCTTTGGTCACACCAGGAGATGACACGACACAGTCGGGGAGATTCGAGCAGGGTATTAAAGACCCCCAAAAAGACAAAAGATCCCCCGTGTAGCCTTCACAGACTGTTGCGGAAAGTTCTGTTAGCGAGCACCTATTAAGGCCGGCACGGCACACGAGGTGGGTGGGTGGGTGGCCAGCACCACGCCAGACCGCCTTTGCCTCTCTACACACCGCACCAGGTACTCATTTGAGGCCGAGTCGACCTAGGGGAGGCCCACGACCCGTTCATATAATCGTCACTCCTGCCTGCCGCGAGCGGGAATCGAACCCGGGTGGCCAGGTTCGTAGTGCAGCGTAGCGCTCAACGTGACATTAAAGACCCCACACCGATGAATCGGCTTGAAAAACTGTAAGGTTTAAATGTCAAGCCCACTCGGCTCAGGAAGTCTTTCGCAAACCCGAAAAACATTCACTCGACGTTCAAGGAAAACTGCAATCGGTAGAGCGCCGGATGAACCATTGCGGTCACCCTCAATGAGGCACAGCAACCACCGCCACTAAATGTCCCAGATCAAAACGAAACCATCCAAACAAAAACAAAACTACCTGGACATCGAGAGAGACTCTTTTTTTAAATCCTTTATATTAAGTTCGCTTGCTTGCTTGCGTGCTTGCTTGCTTGCTTACGACCGTGCAAACCTTTCGGTCGTTTTTTAACCCACTTCCCGTGATCCAATCGAGCTGACATTTTGGCACACAGACTCGTTGTGCGAGACAATTAATGTTCGTGAAAAAAAATTCCAAAATTTTACACTGTTTAGGGAAAACAAATTAAATATTTAATTACCAATTGTTTAATACTGCAGACAATCATCTGACCCATAGGTGGCAGCCATCTCAAGCCAGAGGACGAGAGGACTCTAGCATATAAAGGATTTAGAGTGAAAACTTTGTTTTTACGGGTTATACTTATTAAGTTCAGTCAACACGGGCCGTAGCCAAAAAAAAGAACTTGGCCGGTAACGTGAGACAAGCGTCGCATTAACAAAAAATAAAGAAGCGGGTGGACGAGGATGTGCGGGGGAGATAAAAATCGGAAATGGCACCACGGGATTCAAAAACTGGCGGGGCGAGCAGCACCACGTGGGAAGGAGCCGCCCTCGGTACGAGCTCGTGGTGGTGCCAGATGTCTTGTGACCCACAAATTCATTGACCCTTGACATTTTTTTAAAACACACTTTGCATATTCATTTCTGTTTTTAAATAAAGCTTACAAAAAAAATCTTCCAAGTTTTTTTAGCATTAAATGGGAGGGGGGTGGGGTGTGAATCACAAGACATCTGGATCACTCATCCTGAGTAGCCGCGTGCCAGTTTGGGCATCAAAGCCGGTCGCAACAAACAAATTGGAGACAGATCTGAAACACGGCAAAATTGAGTCTTCTGCCGTTGCCGATCATTGCTACAACGTTGTGGGCTCTCATGATATTGTTTTTTCCGAGACCAAGGTGCTCTACAAACCCTCTGGCTACCATCAAAGGTTTGTACATGAAGCCATCCAGATTTGCAAACACAGACATAATTTCAACCGTGATGATGGGTACAAACTGAGTAATCATTGGAAAGATGTGATTAACCATGCAAAAAAGATGTAACTACACATTTTTGGACCATCTTATTTGACAGGCACTATTTTACTTTACCGAGTGTTAACATCCCCAACGTTTAACAGTTCTCTCCTTTTCGTATTTTATTGTCAACCAACACTGAGTAAAACAACATGGGCATTTTCGTTCTCTTCTAGCATGTGCACCAACAGGTCCAACAGTTCCACATTCACTCTCTTTTAGCCCCCCCCCCTCCCAATACGTTCCATTCATTGGCTACCACATTCAGATAAGCTCCTCCCTCCCTCCTCCTCCCTTAACTTGTATTTAAGAACGGTTTATGTCGAGGTACACCGATTGTTCTCTTGCACACATTGACAACGTTGGCCAATTTCTCTTGTAGCCCCGCCCACCACCCCCACGTTCCGTTCCCTGGTTACCACATTCAGATACGCCCTCCCCCCTTAACTTGTATTTAAGGGCTTGTCTCTTGGAATTTTGCCTCACTTGATGCAGTAAATCTAGCTGTGACGGTCCCACCTGATGACGGAGACTTGTGTTGCCTCCGAAACGTCGTGATTTATTAGTTTCTTTTATTTCTATTATTACTTTTAGTAATTTTTAATTGAATTTTTTTACCTACGTGACTTTACCGAAAAAAACCTAAGAGTATCCATCACATGGCCCACACAAACTTTAAAACCCGGACGTGTTAATTAATACAAACACGGTTTACTGACTACTTGCCATTCGGCTGGTCCAGTGTTGTTCATTGCAAGGCACCGCGGGCCACTGACCTTTAGTGCGGGCCCACCGGACAATACACAGCACGTGAACTCCCCCCCCCCCCCCCCCTGTCAAATACGTGGTGACCCCTCTCGCACTGATGATGTCTCCACGGCGAAAGTGGGGGGCAAAACCCTCCTCTGAAGTTTAGTGAATAACAACCGAGAGAAAAAAGGGCTCTGGGAGTGATTCGGTCGTGTTGGAGGGACATTTGCGTGGGTCAGAAGGTGGCAAGTGGTTCAAGTGGAAGGAAAGAGATCAAGACAAAGGCAGAAGAGGAGGTGGTGGTTGTGGGGCCGGGGGGCGATTTGGTTGCGATCGTAAATGGTGGCCCGAGGAGCGGACAGAGAGAGAGAGAGATGGCGCAGGGCCGGGCAGCGTGGGGAAGGTGGCAATGGGAGCCGCACACGCCCGGCATGAGTGGGACAAACGCGTGGTGGAAGAAGAACCGAACGAGACGAATCACAACCACGCTGAAGAGTAACGCAGCTTCACTCGTTACTGTGGTACAGCCGGTCACGGCATCTGCTCATCCCCGAGTGTTAAGGACATCGGTGTGACTCGTTGTAATGCGATCGAACGTTACTCTCATATGGCAGAGCAAGTGGTGAAGTGATGCCCTCTACCGCGTGCAAAGCGGAGCGTCACTTGAAGAAGAAGTAAGAAGGGAACTCGGTGGTTGTTCTGTGATATCCGCTTTCGTGGGTGCTTCCCTTAGGGGCCGTCCATAAATGACGTCACGCGATTTTGGACGATTTTTGACCCCCCTCCCCTTCGTCACACGGCGTCACAAAAAGTCAGACCCCCCCCCCCTGAAATTTGACGTCACAAAGCTCTGCCCCCCCCCCCAAAAAAATGTTTCAAATCGCTTTAAATTATTGTCATTGTAGTGCGTATTTAATGTGGCGCTGCACTCTGATGTTGTAGGAGAAAACATTGATTAAAAAGTCCATTTAATTACATAGAATGTATTGTCTATATTTATTTAAAGCTGCGCATTTTGATGTGACGTCACATTTCTCAAACAACCCCCCCCCCCTCGTCACACATCGTCACCAATATCTGACTGCCCCCCCCCCCCTAGGTGCGTGACGTCATTTATGGACGGCCCCTTAAACAACAGTTCAGCCGGGAGGCCAGTATGGTCCTCTCGAGGGCGCAGCGCTGGCGGTCACGGCGAGAGTTGAGAGGACGCGGCACGGATCCCAGCTCCCTCGTATGCAAGATTAAGAGTCTGCATGGACGTTGAACTTCTGTCGCACCGCACGTAGCCAACCGTGCTACGCCGCTCTCAAAGAGTGGGCCATCTCGGCCACCCCCTGTTGCTAGCCTCGCCCAGATTACCACACACACACCGGTGAGACTCAGTGCCGATTACCCTCGGGGCACAAGTAGCGACACGTGCTACGGGCGCCGCACTTTCAAGGGCCCCGCGCTAAATGCTTTCAAGATATCAATTCCGGTTCAGTGATTCTGCACTTGCTCTATTACTGTAGTACTATACCGCCTTCGACTTTTATGAACGACTGGGTGTTTAAGGTTGGCGTTGTGTCGTATTATCTGGCCGTATAGCGAATGAAAAAATACAATTACCTTACTGTGCAAGCTGAAATTAAGTGTTTTAAGATGTATGTGTTGTTTTATTTAGGGCCCCTTTATGCTACAGGCCCCGCACTAGCTTAATCCGGCACCGGAGATACTCTACACCCACCCCAACGCACTGAACATCCACGCGCAAAAAAACATTCACCGCATTTTTCAACACTGCATCTCAACATAGCGAGGTGAACGAACGGCAGGTGAACTCCACTTAGCTGTTGTTGGGTTGGTGTTGGGCGAGCTGGGAGGAACTCGCCGCTTCTCTTGCTTGGCCTCGGGACACGTGGAACTGACTAGCTCCAGGACGTGTGGACCACCGAGCCCTGTGGCAATTCCTCCTCCCCATCCTCCAGACTCCTGCTGCTGACACTCGCTCAGTCGGTCATCCAAACCGGTCGAGCAAGAATCATCTCTCTCGCGCTCTCTCTCTCTTCAGTGTCAGCCAGAGAACTAACTCCATCCATATTCTTAGGTTTTTTTCCCTTGATGCAGCTAATCCGGCTGTGACGGTCCCACCTGATGACGGAGACTTGTGTTGCCTCCGAAACGTCGTGATTTTTGTTTTATTTTATTATTTTTATTAATTTTGATGTTTTACCTACGTGACTTTACCGAAAAAAACCTAAGAATATGAATCCTTGCAGTCACGAAAGCTTCAAATCTAACTCCATCCATATTCTTAGTTTTTTTCGGTAAAGTCACGTAGGTAAAACATTAAAATTAATAAAAGTAAAATAAAATAAAAATCACGACGTTTCGGAGGCAACACAAAAACGTCGTGATTTTTATTTTATTTTACTTTTATTAATTTTAATGTTTTACCTACGTGACTTTACCGAAAAAACCTAAGAATATGAATCCTTGCAGTCACGAAAGCTTCAAATCTAGAATTAACTCCATCCATTCCCTCCCCCCACCAACGCACACAGGGAGAGAGTTTACTGTGCCCACTTGATCACCATCGCACAGAGGAGGAGTGTATGTCCTCTCGTGCATCTTAGTTTATCACAACTCTGAGGTTAAATTGACACGACACTGCCTCATAGCTGTCAACCCATACGGTTTACCTCGTATTCTTGGCCAGGCAAATTGAGTTATTAGGTCCATAGGGCGTACAGCCGTTTCAATACGGGTACAAACATTTGTTGGTCTATTTGTGTTTCTCCCTTGTGATGAGACTTTGTAGAATGCACGTTGAGATTCATCAGGGCACGGGGTGACCAATAATGTCTTTATCGGTCTGTACTAAGGTAAGGGGTTGGCAGGTATGCACGCGAACTTGGGTCACGTGACAATACAAAAAACACAGGAACACACACACACTCAGTTACACAAAACGCACAATAAAAACAAACGTCACGTGATCTCTGTCTTGTGACCAGCGGCAACCTCTTTGTGTTTTTTCTTTAGAGTAGCAGGGTCCTGGGGCGCGCTGTGGTGTCCCTGATTGAGGAGGCCGCATTTCCCAACACCGCTTGCGTTTGCCATCCAAGTCCGACCATTCAGGCCACTCGCCCCCACTTGATCTGCACTTCATCCAAATCAATCGGCCTTCTCTATCCACCCCAACAGGGGCAGTCCACAAACAATGAGCCCGTAAGAAAATAGGAAAGGCAACCACATCGCTCGGCAGAACAAACGTGTTTATTTGTTTTGGCCGTCACGTGAGAAATGTGTATATATATGCACAGTATTTAAAAACAATCAGCAACAACAAGATTTTCAGTGTGGTCATTGGATCCAAAGTACACTTTTACGGCCAAAACTTTGCCATCTGGAAACATAATTCCCGGAAAAATGATGAAACCTCTTCCGGAGGTCAGTGCAACCGGTTATGTCGGCTAAAGTGGCACGTACCGCACACATGTGTGCGGTGCTTAAAAGAATAAAACAATGGGCTCTCACCCGAAATGTATCATTGTTACACATTACACATTTCAAGGCAGTGTTTGAGAAAATACTGGTAAAATATTTCCCAGTCTGTGGTAAATCACTGGCAAACAAAGTCCTTTAAAGTTGTATACACATTTAAAAATCACGACAACACGATGCGAAGGAAGTTCATCATACGTAGACGTAAACTCGTCACGAGATCGGGCGATGGTTCCGAATTCCTGCATCTCCCCCCCTGCCCCCCTACAACCCGTAATGGTATCTCCCGAGTGTGCACGCTGGCGGCTTGGGTGAGACCAAGTGCACATGGGTGAGGAGGAGGAGGGTAGTTGAATCCTCCCATTACAGCTGCAAGGTTCGTCACCAGTAAAACAACAACCGTCACGGGGGTCAAACGCCAGGAATGAAGTGAGCACGGTGGGAACACGAATCAGCCCGCTACGGAAACGCAGAGGTCCTTTTAAAACCACCCGGATGAAAACAAAACATGCATTCTCTCAATATATATATTTTATGAAAAATAAAAAGGTATCTCTTAAAATTATTGCACGTGTTTCGTTAGTCGGGGAAACGAACGCTGCGAACGTGGCAGCAGCAGCGCTTCCCAGCTACAGTGCTTTGACGCCTGCCCCTTCAACCGGCGAGTCGCATCAGGAAGATTTCTGTGCCGTTTTTGCGCGTCGTTTTCTCCGCGACGCGCGGTTATAAACTCGTTAAAAGAGGGATCCCGGTTCCTGCGTAAGCGTTTGCGTGAATTTGAGCACGCGCGCGCGCCTCCTCGTGCGTTCGCCCGTAGTGTCGTTGGAAGTTCCGTATCGCCGGGATAAGAGCCCGCTGAAGGTCTTGATGCACGTGGGCAACATCCGGGCAACATCCAGGCAAATCGTCGCCAAAAATCATCACCGACGTGTTTTTATCATGAGCAGTTACGGCAACTTGACGCGGCACTGTCGTAGAGTTATGGGGGTTACGTCTGTCCAGTTAAAGCAGAGTTTGTTGTTGAAAACGTGTGCTTTCTAACCAACAGTGCTGGGCGCACAACTTCGGGTAGTCATGTGACCTCCAACTGCGATCGTATCGGAAATTGCCATCTCAGTTGCCCACGACAGATAGCAGCAGTAATTAGATTGATCCAGATTTCGGAAAACCGCATTATTATTTTTTTTAACCATAAGATTTCGTGGCAACTATTTCTAGCGTCGATCGCCGGCAACTATTGCTCTGAATCTGCCTGAGTGCATCGGGGTTTTAGCGGTGGTGAGCGGTGGTGAGCTGTGGTGAGCTGTGGTGAGCGGTGGTGGTGGTGGTGGTGCGACCGGAGCCAACTTTCTCCGGCTCACGAGCTCGCGACAGCTTCCAGCTGCAGGCGGTTGTATCCCTCGCGGTAGAGCAGCACGAGGAACACGGTGAGGACACACGAGCACACGAGCGCCCAGTTCAACCACAGCACGTCTGGAACGAGCAGAGATCATACTCAGAACTATAACACAGTACAACAGCGCGGTGGCGGGATGTTAACTGCCTCGTCTGGTATACAGGAGGTTATACTCTTAGGTTTTTTTTTCGGAAAAGTCACGTAGGTAAAAAATAAAATGACGTTTCGGAGACTTGTGTTGCCTCCGAAACGTCATTTTCTTTTTTACCTACGTGACTTTTCCGAAAAAACCTAAGAGTATGAATCCTTGCAGTCATGAAAGCTTCAAATCTAGAATTAATACAGGAGGTTGTGGGTTCGATCCTGACCCCAACGCCTGAATATTTGGAGTTTGCATGTTCTCCCCGTGATCGCGTGGATTTTTCTCCAAGTCTTCTGGTTTTTCCCTCCACATTTATAATCAACACACGTTCAGAGTATTTATCTGCTGCAAACTTCCACGTGGTAAGCCACTTCGTTGAGCTATCATTTCTGGCCAGGTCACGTCTGAAAAACTGCTGTATAAGCCCAGTGGGCCTTACCTGGTCAAATAAAAATAGTTTAGCTTTAGTAGTAACAGTAACACTGGCGACCCACACTAGGGGCGTGTGAGGCGTGCGGAGAGCGAGAGAACCTGCCTTGGGGGTAAACCATGAGGAAGACCAGCAGGAGCCCCGCAAAGAGGTTGCTGAGGAAGGTGACGATGCCGCAAGTGATGCCCTCGGGCACGGGGTAGGTGGTCTCCACGAAGAGCTCGAAGAACAGCGGGATGCTGCTGTTGGTGCTCACGCCCAACAGCAGCGTGCACGCGTACAGGCTGCCTGCGGGCCAAAGAGAGTTTGGGCATCATCGTGAGGCTGCGCCATCCCTACCTGCGCTGTCACACACCTCGGGTTAACACACTTGTGGCTAGGTATGGTGCGAAAAAAGTTCAACATACGTCCCCACTCACCAAGAGCTATTTATTGCCACACGTGCTCACTCCCCTCCACCGTCCGCAACCCCCGCCACTACCCAGACCCGCCGATGGTTGTGTCCGGGGGGGGAAGGGGTTGGAGCCTAAAGAGAAAGAGGCGGGGCCTAGAGATGAAGGGGCGTGGCATAAAAAGGAAAGGTGCAGAGCCCAAACAGGAAAATATGGGGTCTCAAAATCAGGATGGGATAGGGCCCAACGACTAAGGGGGTGGGAAATGCAGAGGAAGAGGTGGGGCCTCCAGAGATTAAACTTTCCTGTTGATTTAAGGAAAAATAATTTAACCAAATGCTGGAGATGCAGCCACAGGCCAACTAACCCCATTGATTACCCTTCATCTATACTAGGTGGGGCACCTGGTCACTCGCCCCTCTATCAGAGAGCATCGCATGGAAGCGGATAAAAGAGGGCGCTTTAAGGCATCGTGAAATTAGTTCTGTGCTATCTGAACCACTCCTGTGCCAACCCCGAGGCTGGCTTAGCCTCAAATTAGTACCTTGTTTGGTATATAAAACATCGGCACTGGGGATACATAGGCAGCAGGGGAGTCGTGCTGGACTCGCCACTCCCTCGCATGTATGTACGTTGAACCTCTTTCGCACCGTACGTAGCCAGCCACGCTAATCGGAGGTGCGCCCTCAATAGGCGCTCGCAAACGGCACTCGCCCCGGCGGTCCGCGCGCTCGCACCTGTGTCAAACGGCAAGAAGGGAATGTTGCCGTAGGACATGAGCGTGAACCAGACGGCGGCGAGGGTGGCGGCCGTGTAGATCACCAGCAGCATCGCCTTCAGCTGCCCCGCAAAGTAGTCAGCGAACCTGCCGCACGGACGCACGCACGCGACGCTAACACCACGCCACCACCGCTCAAATGTGGGCCGCCACCAGACCTTGAAAAAAAGAAAATCGCCAAGGGGGTTCTGGGAAATTTGCCGTTAGTACCGCAAGGATTCGGCAGATCGGCATGCGATGAACCATCCAAATGTCATCGCAGAGACAAAGAGAGTTCTACAAAGTGGCTGTAGCATGTGACATTACAGTTGGTATTATCATCATCAGCCATTGCCCATTCACTGCTTGATGACGGTTTCCCCACCCCATTGCTAATATCACATATAATACATTCTGATGCCCACAATGCACTGTTATTTGCCGAAGTAGTTTCTGCACAGGGCCATACATCAGGTGGCGGGGGGAGCAGGTCTGTTCAGAATCAGAACAGAATATTTATCTACCTTGGGGGAATCCGATGAGCTATGAAGCTCTCTTTCAAAGTGGGGAAGGGACACCAAGTTACAACAACGAAGAATGCAAAGTATAGAAAAGGTAAGCAAGTCACTAAAAATAAAAAGTCCATAAATTCCTGCCAATTTTGCAATCTTGGGTAAGGCAGCAACACAACAACAAGAACAATCCCAGACCACACCAAGACGACACACAGTGCCCCCGATAAAATTGCAAGTTAAAATGTAACTCTCGTTCACCTGGATATGATGATGCCGGCGAAACTTCCAACCGTGGTGCAAGAAAAACCAACCCAGCCGGCCTTCGCCTGCCGTAAGACACAACACGACAGATCACGGAAACTCAGCTTGACGTTTACAGAGTTAACCGTTATCTCTGGATTGTGATGCACTTTTTTGGCATCCTGTATTTTAAATAAAAAGTTGGGGGGAATGTCTCATAATCATGTGTGTGCATGTGTGTGTTAGTCAGAAGGTAGTGTAGAGGTTAGCGCGCTGCGCTATGAATCTGGCGACCCGGGTTCGATTCCTGCTCACGGCCAACATCAGTGACGATTGTCTGAACCGGTCCTGGGCCTCCCCTAGGTCAACTCAGCCTCAAATGAGTACCTGGTGCGGTGTGTAAACATCGCCACTGGGGAGACAAAGGCGGCCGGGCGTGGTGTTGGCCACCCACCCCCTCGTGTGCCGTGTCGGCCTTCATAGGTGCTCGCTAACAGCACTTCCCCAACAGTCTGTTAAGGCTACACGGGGGATCTTTGTCTTTTTTAGTCAGAAGCAGGCGCTCTCCAGCTACAGCGTAGGGCAAAGCGGAGCGTCGGGTGACTCATACACAGCGAGGTTACATAGGTGGTGCGATCTGCCACTCATCTCAGTCAGTAAACCCATAACACCCTGGCTCTGTCCCATGAACTCCTGCCAACAGCGAGCATTCAAAACTTGGCACATGCGCCGTGGTCGTGCCACCGCCACCTAGTTGCGAATGGCGGTTGGTGTCATTGTCGTGTGTTGCATAACTTTATTGACATTGGCCACAAATTTGGGGTGCGCCTTACATTCCAGGACGTCAAATAATCCACAGAATATATGGTTCATAGCTCTGGAATGTTTGTGTGCGGATTGTTATCCAGATTGTGAGAAAGACAGAGAATGTGGCATCCCACGCTCAATCGCCAATTGAACAGCTGCTCCTCAATCGAAAGTCCGCCGTGACCGATTAATTTGATTAATCTGCCGTGAGAACAAACAGCAACGTTCTACGTCTTCGTCCTCCATTAGACGTCGGTGAACAACAAACATCTGCTTCAAAGCTGAATTGGCGTGCATTTCACCAAATCTGTGGTTTCGTTATATCCGGGACCCCCCCTGCCCCGCTCATTACCCTGGGTGATCAAGCGATGTCGAACTTGTACGTTTTTTCCCCCCCCCCCAATAGTGTATCTATATATATAAAATCGCGAATCTGTCTGTCTATCTGTCTGTCTGTGTGTCTGTGTGTCTCCGGACCATACGCACTTTCATTGGACGCCGGTTGCCCCTGCCAACGGCTAGCGACGCCTTCGCCGCTTTCATTGGACCTGGCAACGGCTAGCGACGCCTTCGCCAAGGGCTGCACTTTCATTGGACGGCGGTTGCCCCTGCCAATGGCTAGCCACGCCTTCGCCACTTTCATAGGCTCCGTAAATAATTAAATAATAGCCATTACACAGTATTGTTGGAGCGCTGAGGGGGGGGAGGAAGGAACGCCACCCGTACCCTGCCTCTGTCGGGTGCCCAATTTTGGCGAGGCCGCAGGCTCTGCACGCTACTAGGCCTCGACACCCACCACGCCACTCTGAGGTAAATTCATCAAAGTTTTTCGTACTCTTCACTCCACCCCCACCACAATGTGTGCAATTAATATTACTTTTAAACCCAACGCGCCAACAATCGATTATTTAAATGTTCACTGTACAAATAGTCATTAAGCTGGGTCAGCGTACTGCCAGTCTATCATGTAGACTGTAGCCTGCTTATTAAGCTCGGTGAGCGTACTGCCACTCTATCATGTACACTCTAGCCTGCTTATGAAGCTGAGTGCGTGTACTGGCAGTCTATAATGTGGACTGTTGCCTGCTTATTATAATCGATTCTTTATATGTTCTTTGTACAAATAGTCATTAAGCTGGTTGAGCGCCCCCAGTTCGATTCCAACTCACGCCCACCACCGCTGACGATTATTTTAAACGGACCTGGGCCTCCCCTAGGTCGACTCAGCCTCAAACGCGTAACTGCTGTCGTGTGTGAACATCGTCACTGGGAAGACAAAGGCGGCCGGCCATCGTGGATCCAAGTCCCGGGCGAAGCCGGGTCATGTCTATGTGTGTATGTGTTTATGTGTATGTCTGTGTGTCTGTATGTATGTGTGTATGTATGTGTATGTGTTTGTGTGTATGTGTGTGTGTATGTATGTGGGTTTTTTTGTATGTCTTTATGTGTATGTCTGCGTGTCTGTATGTATGTGTGTATGTACGTGTGTGCATGTGTTTGTGTGTATGTATGTGTGTGTCTATGTATGTGTTTCTGTGTATGTATGTGTGTGTATGTATGTGTGTTATGTGTCTGTCTGTGTGTCTGCATGTATGTGTGTGTGTATTGTGTATGTGTTTGTATGTGTTTGTGTGTTTACGCTCGCATTACACAAATGTGTTGCAGGTCTAAGGCGTTCCTTGCGTAGCATTGCCGCTTTATTATTTCAGTTGTTTACTGCCGTACGCACCCTGAAAGTCGTGTGTGTCTGCAGCAAGCGCGTGTATGTGTAGCTATGGACGCGCGCGCGTGTGTTGTGTAGGGGGAACGGTAGTGTAGTGCTTAGCGTGCTGTCTGTGTGTGTGTGTCTGTGTGTGTGTGTCTGTGTGTGTGTCTGTGTGTGTCTGTGCGTGTGTGGTGTGTGAGGAGCGGTGGGTGTAGTGCTTAACGCTACGCTGCGCTACCAACCCGGCGAACCCAGTTCGATTCCCGCTCACGGCCACCACCGGTGACCATTATTTGAACCTCCCCTAGGTCGACTCAGCCTCAAACGAGTAACTGCTGTGGCGTATTAACATCGCCACTGGGGAGACAAAGGCGGCCGGCCGTGGTGGATACAAGTCCCGGGCGAAGCCGGGTAGTACAGCTAGTTGTTCATATAGATATGTTGAGGTGTATATTGAAAAATCTATAAGGTGAGCATGTTGGGTTTTTTTTATTCATATTAAACTTCCTACTTTTCGTGAATATATAGCATACGGACTTCTACATGGAATGGAGGAATTTACTTTTTATACAAAGTGTATTGCTTTTATAGATATGTTGAGGTGTATATTTCAAAATCTATAAGGTTAGCTAGTCGTTTTTTTATTATTCATATTAAAATTCCGACTTTTCTTGAATATATAGCATACAGAGCTCTATATGGAATGGAGGAATTTACTTTTCATAGAAAGTGTATTGCTTTTATAGATATTCACTCACCAGCCCGCACTGACGAGCGTGCTGAAGAAGTAATGGTCAAGTAAATTTCGATTTAAAGCTTTCGTGACTGCAGGGATTCATCTTCTTGGTTCTTTTGGTAAAGTCACGTAGAAGGGAATAAAATAATAAAAATAAAACGTGATAAAATAATTCTCACGACGTTTCGGCCACAACGCAAGCAGCCGTCCTCAGGTGAAGACGCTGTCTCCCCGACAGACCTGGTCTTCACCTGAGGACGGCTGCTTGCGTTGTGGCCGAAACGTCGTGAGAATTATTTTATCATGTTTTATTATTATTATTTTATTACTTCCCTTCTACATGACTTTATCGAAAGAACCAAGAAGATAACGGTCAAGTAGCCTACAACCCGCACAGGCACGGGTGGGGAGGCCCTCATCCGGCAAGGGGATTTGAGCGAGGGCTCTACGTGAACGGGCGAAGATATATCGCAACCGTGCCGTCGCCTTCGTGTGACGACACAAAAGCGTCCGTTCGGGGAAAACTCTCGAAAGCAGAACGGTAATGGTCCCCCCCGCCCGGTGTCCAGAAACTACGGCTGTGCTGTGGAAGAAGACGTTGTAGAACTACTTCTCAACAGTCCGCCGTGTCGCGGCGAGCGCCGTCACCTGCGAGACGCCGTTGGGGCTCAAGATGACATCGAGGACTCCGCTCCACCCGCCCACGACGCCCGAAGCAGCGCCGTAGGCCAGGGCGATGAGCCAGAAGCGCCGGCTTCTGCAGTGGCGCGACGCACGCACATCTCTCAGTCAGCCAGCTACGAGGTCTGTCAAAGTCGTGCAGTGTGCGTACTGCGATAAAGTTCAACACAATAGTCCAGTGTTCTTCACTCATTTTCAAAGGGGGGGGGGCCCACTTTCGCCGATAAGACATCGGTAGTGCGAGTGTCGCCACACCACTCTTTGTGTATTGTCGGGGGCCACACTCAGGGGTCGCACTGAAGGCCACCAGGCTCTGCCAGTGGCCCGCGGCCACCCAAACACAGCTGCCACTTCTCGGATTGTCCAGGTTAAACCTGTTAAAAACCTGGACAGGTGGCAACCTTACAGGTGGCTGTGTTAGTCAGCCCTGTCGTGTCAGCTGTGGGCTGCAGAGGGCTGAGACCCCCTCCCCCACCGCCCCATCCCCCACAGCTGAAAGCTCAGCCACCCCTTCGAAATTCTTATCGTAAAGTCCGAAAAAAATCTTGATACAACATTTAACGCCAGTGGTGGGTTTCATTCAGTGTTATCCCCTTCGGTGAAGTTCGAGAGACGGAACAGAGTAAGCGCGAAAGGTAATGTCAGATTACGTCGTTAATCAGTCCGTTTAGCGGTTAACTTTTGCTGAAAGTTTGTCTCAACTGTGCCCACACCCCATTTAAAGGTCAATTGGCAGGGCTGATGTGGAAGGGGGGGGGGGAGCGCGTTGATTTCCGACCTGGCGAGCTTGCGCAAGGCGACGCGGTACGGCAGGCGCGTGGCAGCGGCGGAGAGGCTGGGCGGGCGCGGGGGCAGCGCCGGCAGGAAGAGCAGGACGACCACCAGCAGCAGTCCAGCGTAGGCCGCCTCTGTGTGTGTGCGTGCGTGTGCGGAGGGTAGGTGCCGGGGGGTCGCGACTGTTATCGTCCAAAAGCAACAAGGCGCAACCCAAAGAAAAGACAAAGCGCTCTTGCCGTCGCGTGTGTACCCAGTAGGTGCGAGTTGTCTAGAGCCGGAGCCGTGAGTCCACTACAGGTGTCTGCTCTCTCACGCATCGTTTCCGCCGTCTCATTTGTGTCGTGTCTCGCTCACGACATGCGCAGCATGTACCGTGGGCGTAACAATTGATTTTCATCGATGATCACTGCACTGTTACGTGTCCGCCACCGTCAATATCATCGCCACCACCGAGAACACTACGACAACAAGACACCACCACTGCCACACCACAATCGCCATACATCACTACAACTACAAACTCTATCACTACACCACCAGCACCACCGCTGTAATCACTATCACCACCATGACACTACTTTTTACTGCTGCCACCACCACCACCATTGTCAGCACCACCACCACTGCCATCACCACCTTCATCATCATCATCACCCTCATCGCCACCACCACCACCGGCCACGTACGCGCGTAGAGCATGATGTCAATGCGTTTGGAGATGAGCTGCAATTCCGCAGGCCCCGGCGTGGGCCCTGGTGCCGGCACGACGGCGGGGCCCAGCAGGAAGGCGGAGGCGGCGCCCAGGTATCCGATGAGCGAGGCGATGGCCGTGGCCGTGGTTCGCTGCTTAGCCGGGAACCACGCGGCCGAGAGGTACGGCGGCGCCGCCATGGTCGTCGTCCCGGCCACGCCGTTCAGCAGCTGCCCCGCGTGGATAAGCCTGCGGTGGCGTTCGGAGGTTAGCCGCAAGAGGACGAGCGATGAGAGGTCAACGGCAGAGTTAGTTCATTCAATAAAATGTAACAAAAAAATACGACGCATTCACGCGTTGTCCAGCGTTAACGTAGCCAGTATGTAATGACAAAGTGAAATTCAGACTTGAGACTTCACTAAACTTACACAGGTTGTCGGCGACGAGTTGAGGACTATAAAGACTAACGTGCTGACGAAATTAACGCCGGTCAGCGGTCGGAGATGATTGGTAGGCCATGGGTGAGAGGTCAATGGTGAAGTCAGAGGACAGAGGTCAGTGACGAGATGTCAGGAGCGAGGTTAAGACACCAGACACACCCTCACCAGTAAAGCTGCCAAGGATGACAGGCAAACTGGCCATCATGTGATGACGGACTGAGATAATTATCCCACGGTGACTCATCTTTCTCACAAGACTGAGCATTGGCTGGGTTTGTGTGGCTGTTTATGGAGCCGCCGCACGAGAGTGGCTTGGTTACAGTATAAGCCAAGGATCGTTAAAAAAGCTGAATTTCCATACTTCACAGAAATGATATCATCCCATTGACTGAGCTACAGATTTGAATTCTAAGAAATCGTATAGCGGTAGTTGGTGCCTTAAAGGATACAAATTGACGACAACACAGAATGTTATCGTCAAAGCTATGTGTGGGCTGCGATGATGCACTGCAAAAGAGGAACTAGGGACTGGGCAGGTTATGGCAGTGCAGACGTCACTGTGCATGCATTAGCAACACGCAGTACCGTGTACCCATCTGTGGGCAAAGACACAGGAAAGAAAAAACAGGCATGTGCATGGGTTTTTGACGCTTTCCAGCATAAGTTTTTCCTTGGAAGTGTATATCTTTGTTAACTCATTCGCTGCGAACAGATAGCTATTAATATGCCAATTTAAATTTGTTCATATGGAAAAAAAAGCTAACATTGAATGCATATCAGGCCTCAGTCTCCAATCTATATCTCTGGCCTCTCTATTTGTATCGCTTTGAAGAAGAGCCATTATCCAAAACCTCGCCTGCTATTTTTGTTTTACTTTTAAGGCCACTGTGTTTTTAACGAATGTGTCCGAGTTGTTTTGTTACGTGCGCTTGTGCACCACTGCCAACGCAGCAGCACCAACTAATTTGTTCATCATCTAGAAAAAAAAACTCAAGTAGGCTATTCATAGCCGTCATGGCGGCGAGATGTTAACTATCTCGCCTGCTATACAGGAGGTCATGGGTTCGATCCCAACCCTGACGCCTGCTGTATATTTGGAGTTTACATGTTCTCCCCGTGGTCGCGTGGATTTTTCTCCGGGTCCTGCGGTTTTTCCCTCCACATTTAGAAACATGCGTTTAAGAGTATTTGGCTGCTGTCAATTTCCACATCATAAACCACTTCGTTGAGCTCTCATTTATTATATAGCTCAGTGGGCCTTACCTGCTAAAATACATAGTTTAGTTATACTCTTAGGTTTTTTCGGTAAAGTCACGTAGGTAAAATAATAATAAATGAAAATAAATAAATTAAATCACGACGTTTCGGAGGCAACACAAGTCTCCGTCTTCAGGTGGGACTATCACAGCTAGATTTACTGTATCAAGGGAGGAGAAATCCAAGAGACAAGATCTTAAATACAAGCTAAATTTAGCTGTGACGGTCCTACCTGAAGACGGAGACTTGTGTTGCCTCCGAAACGTCGTGATTTAATTGATTTATTTTCATTCATTATTATTTTTTTTTACCTACATGACTTTACCGAAAAAACCTAAGAGTATGAATCCTTGCAGTCACGAAAGCTTCAAATCTAGAATAGTTTAGTTAGTAAAAAAAAAGTTTTATTTCATGGATTACCACAATATCCCATAATGCCATCTCTTGGCCACCTCACAACAGCCCAGCGAGTTTGCCATTCTCAACATTTCCCTCTGCAGCGCCGGACCACTGGCCACGGTTACAACCGCCATCACGCCTAGCTCGGATTAACTTTGTTATTGCGCTTAGCGTCGGAGGAGGGATTACAGAGCCCGTTAAGTAATTACCATTTCCTGGTGGCGTTGTCGGCCGTGGGGATCGCTCGGAGCGAGCAGCCCAGCACCACCACCAGCGACGTGACCAGCAGGGAGCTGCGCAAGCCTGTAGCAGTGGTGGGAATGGGGCAGGGGGAGACATGGGGGGGGGGGGGGGGCACAGAGAGGATCAGAGCACAAAGCCAGCAAGTGCCTCGTTAGCCCTGATCTTGCCAGGCGAGAGAGTTCAGCGAAACAAGCGGAACAGTGAAGGAGACTTGTGGCATTTAACAATAATGATGCCCTCCATTAAATCAGGGACGCCTCATAAAATCTCAACCGTTTTATCAGGATGGTCGGAATACATTGGGATGTTTGTCAACATTTTTTACATTTTTAAATCCTTTATATTAAGTTCACTTGCTTGCGCGCTTACGACCGTGCAAATCTTTCGGTCGTTTATTAACCCACTTCCCGTGATCCAATCGAGCTGACATTTTGCACACAGACTCGTTGTGCGTGACAATTTATTTTAGTGAAATTTTTTTTCCATAACTTTACACTTTTTAGGAAAAAAAATTATATTTAATTACCAATTGCTTAATGGTGGCAGGCAATCATCTGACCCATAGGTGGCAGCTATCTCAAGCCAGAGGACGAGAGGACTCTAGCCGCCACGCATATAAAGGATTTATAGTGAAAAGCTTTGTTTTTACGGGTAAATTTTTTATGGAGCGTTTTCAAAGCTAGGAGATTCACGAATTTGCGCGCGATCCACCAAATCTCCCCGCCACAGAGCTGGTTTACAGACACAAGACAATCCACCCCACGCCACGGCACGACAGTCAAAAACCCCCTAGTCACCTCGCTTGTCCAGTAGCAGCACAGACAGCGGGCAGAGGATGAACCCCACGGGGCCCCACACCACCAGCAGGGCCACGTCGCTCGGGCCCCAGCCGAACACGAGCCGTGCCGACTCGGCCACGGGCCCCCAGCTGTTCCACACCTGTCCCTGCAGGAACGAGAGGCAACAGAAGGCGGCCAACACGGCCCAGCGGCGCCGATACGCGCGTCCTGGAGTGGCCTCGTCGTTCACGCCACCGTCGGCGTCGTTGACCAACCCCACGGCCCGGAGGCCCGGAGTGACCGAGTCCCAGATGGGATCTCGAGCCAGGTCACCTGGGTTCGCACCCTCACCCTGTCCTCCATGGCCAGGTCTGCGTGACAAGTCTCCGTGGCTCCAATTGTGACCCTGGCAGTGGCTCCTATTGTGACCCTGCTCCCGATTTGAACCCAGAGCCCACGGCTTGTCGATGTCCACCTCCTGCTGCCAGGGCTGCGCCTTGAGCAGAGGCGTCAACTCGTCGGATCTCGCCACGTGCATCCTTGACCGGCACCACCATCAGCTTTGGCAGGGAATCGAGGGCGTGGGGTGGGTTACTTACTGGGGGGTCTCTATCGCTGTCCGCATGGGTCTCGACCACCTTTACCAATTCGCCAAATTTGGCCCCGGTACTAATTAAGGACTTAATGAGGTGGGGCACTGCTCGTTAATTGCTACCGATGCATGTTGATGATGATGTTGTTGTTGTTGCTGCATCCAAGTCGCTGTTGTCCACGTTGCTGGAGCTCTCGTGGCCATATGTTACGTGGGACTTCTTTCGCGCCGTACGTAGTAGTAGGCCAACCGTGTAGATCCAGTTGCTGTTGATGATGTTGTCACCGTACCCAGTTGATGTTGATGTTGTTGCTGAAGATGATGGAACTACAAAAAATCCAGTTGCCGATGTTTAAGCGGCCGCCGCTTGTTGTCAGTATCGTCAGTCGGAGTCGTCGTCGCCGCCGCTGCTGTTGTTGTTTTGAACAAAGTTGTCGCTATTAACACAAAATAGTTTTTTAATCAACGTGAGGTACAGCACCGTCATCACCGCAACAATAAAAACATCAACATCGCCTGCGCCGATTGTTGCTGTCAGTGGTTGTCGCTGCCCCTGCCTACAGCCATCCTTATCCTTCACGACTATGGTGAGTATTGTGATGATGATGATGAGTAGTGTAGTAGTATTATTAGTAGTATTAGCACCGCTGTGCTTGATGTCACTTTGACGACTACCGCCACCACCAGCGCCGCTGTCTCCCCGCGAGGCCGGAACCGGCGCGCGCTGCGGCGGCGAATCACGTGGGGCGAGCGGGGCGGGGCTAAGTCGCGTCGGGGGGGGGGATCACCCAGTCCCCGCCCCCTGAAGAGGAATCACGTGACTCCATTACCCCCCCCCCCCCCGGAGGGATCACGTGACTCCATTACCCCCCCCCCCGGAGGGATCACGTGACTTCATTACCCCCCCCCGGAGGGATCACGTGACTCCATTACCCCCCGCCCCCTTGAAGAGGAATCACGTGACTTCATTACCCCCCCCCGGAGGGATCACGTGACTCCATTACCCCCCCCGAGGGATCACGTGACTCCATTACCCCCCCCCCCGAGGGATCACGTGACTTCATTACCCCCCCCCCCGGAGGGATCACGTGACTCCATTACCCCCCGCCCCCTTGAAGAGGAATCACGTGACTCCATTACCCCCCCCCCGGAGGGATCACGTGACTCCATTATCCTCCCGCCCCCTGAAGAGGAATCACGTGACTCCATTACCGCCCCCCCCGGAGGGATCACGTGACTCCATTACCGCCCCCCCTCCCCGGAGAGATCACGTGACTCCATTACCCCCCCCCCGCCCTGAGGAATCACGTGACACCATTACCCCCTAAGGAACCACGTGACTCCATTACCCCCCCCGCCCCCTTGAAGAGGAATCACGTGACTCCATTACCCCCCCCCCCCAGAGGGATCACGTGACTCCATTACCCCCCCTGATGAATCACGTGACTCCATTACCCCCCCGGAGGAACCACGTGACTCCATTACCCCCCCGCCCCCTGAAGAGGAATCACGTGACTCTATTACCCCCCCCCCGCCCCCGGAGGGATCACGTGACTCCATTACCCCCCCGCCCCCTGAAGAGGAATCACGTGACTCTATTACCCCCCCCCCGGAGGGATCACGTGACTCCATTACCCCCCCGCCCCCTGAAGAGGAATCACGTGACTCCATTACCCCCCCCGGAGGGATCACGTGACTCCATTATCCTCCCGCCCCCTGAAGAGGAATCACGTGACTCCATTACCGCCCCCCCCGGAGGGATCACGTGACTCCATTACCCCCCCCCCCGCCCTGAAAAATCACGTGACACCATTACCTCCCCTGAGGAACCACGTGACTCCATTACCCCCCCCCCCGGAGGGATCACGTGACTCCATTACCCCCCCCCCCCCGGAGGGATCACGTGACTCCATTACCCCCCCCCCCCGCCCTGAAAAATCACGTGACTCCAGTTACCTCCCCTGAGGGATCACGTGACTCCATTACCCCCCCCCCCCCCGGAGGGATCACGTGACTCCATTACCCCCCCCCCGCCCTGAAAAATCACGTGACTCCATTACCTCCCCTGAGGGATCACGTGACTCCATTACCCCCCCCCCGGAGGGATCACGTGACTCCATTACCCCCTCCCCGCCCTGAAAAATCACGTGACTCCATTACCTCCTCTGAGGGATCACGTGACTCCATTACCCCCCTGAGGAATCACGTGACACCATTACCCCCCACCCTGAGGAATCACGTGACACCATTAACCCCCGGAGGGATCACGTGACTCCATTACCTCCCCTGAGGGATCACGTGACTCCATTACCCCCCCTGAGGAATCACGTGACACCATTACCCCCCCTAAGGAACCACGTGACTCCATTACCCCCCACCCCCTGAAGAAGAATCACGTGACTCCCCCCCCCCACCCTGAGGAATCACGTGACTCTATTATCCCCCTGAGGAATCACGTGACTCTATTATCCACCCCCCCCCCCCGAAGGTACCACGTGACACCATTACCCCCCTGAAGAATCACGTGACTCTATTACCCCCCCCACCCCGAGGAGGAATCATGTGACCCCCCCCTTACCTTGTGAGGGGTTTGGGGGGAGTCACGTGATTTCTCCTGACCGGGGAGGGGGTGGGGGTCACGTGATCGTCTGGCCACGTGCAGAGTTATTCGACGCCACCGACTGATTTGGGAATTTCACCAAACCACGTTGCCTTGTCGATGAGCGCGATTTCTCGGGGTGGATGTGCTTTATTTAACCACAACAGTCCTGTATCCACAACTGCGGGGTAAGGGGCCGTCCATAAATGACGTCACGCACCTAGGGAGGGGAGAGAGGTTAGATATTTGTGACGATGTGTGACGAAGGGGGGGGGGGGTTAGAAATGTGACGTCAGATCAAAATGCGCAACTTTAAATAAATATAAACAGCACGTTCTACTTAATTAAATAGACTTTGTAATAAATGTTTTATCCTACAACATCAGAGTGCAGCGGCACATTAAATACGCACTACAGTGACAATAGTTTAAAGCGATTTGAAGGATTTTGGGGGGGGGCAGAGCTTTGTGACGTCATATTTGAGGGGGGGTCTGACTTTTTGTGACGCCGTGTGACTAGGGGGGAGGGGGTCAAAAATCGTCCAAAATCGCGTGACGTCATTTATGGACGGCCCCTAAAATGTTGGTACGCCCATATTCTGGCCCAGGGTGGAAGAGTAAACCAAAATATCCTCTTCCAGATTTCTCCCTCCATGTTGTCTTTTAAATGAGGAATTGTCATCGTAAATACTAATTCACAGCTCAGCTTTCTATTTCCAAGACAAAGATCCACCGTATAGCCTTAACAGACTGTTGGGGCAAGTGCTGTTAGCGAGCACCTATGAAGGCCGGCACGGCACACGAGAGGGTGGGTGGTCAACACCACGCCCGAAGCGGTCTTTATCACCCTACAGGCGATGTCTACACACCGCACCCCGACACTCGCTTGAGGCTGAATCGACCGAGCGAAGGCCGAGGACCGGTTCAGATCATCGTCACGGGTGTTGATCCGTGAGCGAGAATCGAACCCGGATTAGCCGGGTTCAGTAGAGCAACGCGCTCACCGCTACCCACTACACTACCGCCTTCCCCGCATGCAATCACGCTTATAAACATAGAACCGCAGAGCTTGCGGTCGGTTCATCGCCGCGTGGTTGCTGCTGCTGCTGCCTTGCCACTGGTCTGTGGATTCCTCCTCTTAGCGTCTCTTGTGCGGCGTGTTTCACGGGTTTACACCATGACGTGTGCGCGAAAACTCTGCTCCCCGATTGCTTCACCGCCGTTGGCTCTCCGCCAGAGGTCGCGTTTGCTCCGTGAGAGAGGCACAACGTTTTTGGAGGAGTACAACAATCAGCCACGCCACAGGGCAGGATAAACCAATGTCGTTCTACTCTTTGTTTTTTTTGGGTATAGTCACGTAGGTAAAAAATTATAAAATAAAATAAAAATAAATGAAAATAAATCAATTAAATCACGACGTTTCGGAGGCAACACAAGTCTCCGTCTTCAGGTGTATCACTTGATACAGTAAATTTAGCTGTGATGGTCCCACCTGAAGACGGAGACTTGTGTTGCCTCCGAAACGTCGTGATTTAATTGATTTATTTTCATTGATTATTATTTTATTATTATTTATCTACGTGACTTTACCGACACAACCTAAGAGTATGAATCCTTGCAGTCACGAAAGCTTCAAATCTAGAATCAATGTCGTTCTTTTTCCCAGCAGGGGGAACCAAGCGAACTGGGGCTCAGTTTCAGCCGCACATATTTCGAGCCAAAACATTTTTATTTTATTTTATCAGGTAATGCTCCCTGAGCTATGCAGCTCTTTCTCAGAAGCGACCTGGTCACAACTTATAGCTCAACGAAGTGGCTCATCACGTGAAAATGTCTAATTTATAGCACTCTAAACGCATGTTTCTAAATTTAAGAGGGGAAAACCGGAGGACCCGGAGAAAAATCCACACGACCACAGGGAGAACATGCAAACTCCAAATACACAGCAGCAGGCGTCAGGGTCGGGATCGACCCCACGACCTCCTGAATATCAGGCGAGGTAGTTAACATATCCTAGCCACCGTGATGATGATGATGAGAGAGACACGCAAACTCCAAATATACAGCAGCAGGCGTCAGGGTCGGGATCGAACCCACGACCTCCTGCAGACCAGGCGAGGTAGTTAACATCTCCTAGCCACCGTGATGATGATAATGAGGGGAGAGACACGCAAACTCCAAATATACAGCAGCAGGCGTCAGGGTCTGGATCGACCCCACGACCTCCTGCATATCAGGCGAGGTAACTAACATCTCCGAGCCACCGTGATGATGATCGAGGGAGAGACACGCAAACTCCAAATATACAGCAGCAGGCGTCGGGGTCGGGATCGACCCCACGACCTCCTGCATATCAGGCGAGGTAGTTAACATCTCCTAGCCACCGTGATGATGATGGAGGGAGAGACACGCAAACTCCAAATATACAGCAGCAGGCGTCAGGGTCGGGATCGACCCCACGACCTCCTGCATATCAGGCGAGGTAACTAACATCTCCGAGCCACCGTGGCGCCCGGTCAGGGCTGAACTCCGGAAAATAGTTCATCAGAAATAAATGTCATTTAAAAACGGTACTGGTACTTAATTTATTGACACCTCAGAAGCTCTGTGCCACAAGATGATCGGAATCAAAATATTTTTTTTATTGGAGGAATCCGATGAGCTATGAAGCTCTTCACCCCCCCCCCCCCCACACACACACGTCCAGTAGGGCCACTGGGGTCAGAGGGTTACAACAAACAAATAAAAAACACGACGGGAGTGCAAAGTCGTACGCATGCATGTAGAACTTCTTTAGCACCGTCCGTGGCCAACCGTGCTAATCGAAAGTGCGGCAGAAAGACCACATACTAAACACAAATAAGTAATATTTAAAAATACTTTTTAAAAAACACGCTTTAATGAAATGTACCCTACTCGTAATGGCAAAACTCCACGACTCCAGAAAGTGGCCCCGAAGCTTGCCATAACGTAAGGGACCGTGGTTATTTACAGCCAACGTATGTTGAGCGTGGACAATTAGACCCAAGCCGAAACATAACATATAAAAAGATTGTTTAATATATCTATTTTAATGATAGAATATAGTATTGTCATCAGTATGACATAAGTAAACCAAGTTTGCAGTCGATAGCACATTGGGAAGTGGGTTAAAATTGAGTTACAAGATTTGAGGATACGACAACAACAACAGAGTGAGTTAAATAAAAGCGTGTAATAATAAAAAGGCAATTTTAAGAACTGAGTTTCCAATCGAGAGTTCATTTAAAAGTGCATAGCTCCCAGGGGCTTCCTAATATCGGAAGGAAGAGCGTTCCAGACGGCCCCAAGAGCACATCCGAAAGCGCGCGATGCGGTGGCCACCGTCTTTGTTTGATGGCTCGCAGCCAAACGCCGCTGCTGCTGCGAGGATGACCGAGTACATTCGCTCGTCGAGTGAGAGAGAGGAGAGAGAGGACGACTCAGAGGCGCGTGGAGGAACTGCAGACGAGTGGGAAACGGCAAGCAGCAGCAGCCACGCGCCAAATTCTCCTCCCCCAAGCTCTGCCTTCCTCTATATACTAAGATGTTATCGGCCAATTCATGGTTATGTTTTCCATGGGGGAGGAAACAGGGGAAATGCGTTATACCATGCAGATGGAACAGGTGGAGTTCACATTTCGCTGTACTGCCTTCTCCTGGCAAGCCACGGTATGAGCTCTTCCTCGACGCTCACGGGGAAGACGGGAGTTCCACAGCCCACCTGTGTGTGTGACCCACCAACCCTCGCTGCTGCCCCCGCAGTGCTGGCTTACATGGGTACACAACGGCGCTACGCATACTGCGGTACAACAATTGAGTATTTAATAGAATCGTGACTAAGTGCAGCATCCACTTGGCTGACAGCAGGTCACGTGATAGACCAGAGAGGGCTCTAGGGGAAAGGTCACGGAAGGGGCACATCGAGAACCCGCTGGTAGGTTCCAGAAGGGGGCGTGACTGGGGGCGGAGCCAGCAGGCCACGTGACGGTATAAAAGGGGCCCCGGGAGGGGAGCTCGGGACTGTCGTGTGGAGTGGGGGGGGGTCCCCGTCGTGATGCTGCTGAAGTCTTCACCGTCTCGGCGTCGTCAGTCAGTCAGTTTACCAGCCGTCCTGACTGGGAGCCGTAGTTACCAAGTGTTAACTGTTAAGGCCGAATTCTTGGTTCTTTCGGTAAAGTCACGTAGAAGGGAAATAATAAAATAATAAAAACATTAAAATCTTATTTTATTATTTCCCTTCTACATGACTTTACCGAAAGAACCAAGAATATGAATCCCTGCAGTCACGAAAGCTTTGAATCAAAATGTTAAGGCCGTGTTAATAAACAGAGTGCCACCTGCTCTTCCTGTCTCTTGAGTCAGTCACTACGTAAGCATCGATTATTTGGAAATTGCTGTGACTGTAGCGGCCTCCGGTGGCTGGAGTAATCACGAGGACGCATTTCGTGTGACGCGTGCTACGTGGTGGAGAAGCGTCGATTCTTACACACGCGATGCTTGTATCGAGAGCTTAATACTCCAAATGAATTCGACAATAAATCTATTTGCGGCCGTGACCGTACGCGTTTGTAATGAGTGCAAAGGCTAATGTCCTGAACGTTTTCGGTAAAAAAATTCCACATTACTATGCCAGGGGTCAGCCCTCCCATACGGCACAGGACTTGTTTGAGTTGACCCCAGCAGGGCTGATGGAATGAGTCGAACCGTGATATCAAGCAGTGGGTGGGGGCAGTGTTGTTGCAATGGTTACAGGATATTCGTGCTGAGTTATCCAGCGGTGATGACGCTTTGAGTGTCAGGTTTGTGTCGGTAACGGCGGCGCGTGTTTAATACAAAATAAAATTTTATCGACTGGACATCTCTATGTGCTGAGGTGTCTCCTACACGGCAGGTACAGCAAGTAGGACCGGCATTTCCCTCCAGTGTCCTTGCCCCTTTAATTAATTAACGGTGTCAGCTGGTATGATGCACGGATAACACTGGTCAACACATTTTTTTCTCGCATAAGGTATTCCAACGGTTTTTATGTAATTTTGGGGTGCTGATTCCAAATCTGGCATCAGTTTTTGTCTATCACATCAGGTTTTTGAGATATCAAATATTGCATTTTCAATAAAATCTGCAGAAGAAAAATATTAAATAAATGTGGATATCTACATAAAATGATATTATAAACACACTATCCCAAAAATACAGCACCATATTTTAACACTAAAGCAGTCACTGACTCGCAACAACTTGCAATCATAAGTGGCAGAGTTAATTTCGGATAAAAGCAGTGAAAATGGGGTATGCCGATAGCATAAAAATGAGATGTGATCAGATTTGGAATCAGCACCCTGAAATTAGTCTAAAACAGCTGCAAAAGTCCAGGCCAGAATGATTATTTTTTGTTGACCAGTGTAATGACCAACGCGTCATTGTGTCCGTAGTGAAGAAAGTTTTCAACCAGTGCGTAATCACGTGGTTCATGAACACGGATCACAGAGAGAGTGAGAGAGAGAGCGAGAGACAGAGCGTGGAACCGAAGCTGAAGAGTGGCACGCAAAGCGTCGTGGCGAAGAACAACGCAGAGAGAAGCACATGGTTTCAGAGAACGTGCGCCGGTGGTACGTTGGTTGGACTTAAATCCAGTCGTGAAAAAACAATCTTAAACCATCTTCTTGGTTCTTTCGGAAAAGTCACGTAGAAGGGAAGTAATAAAATAATAAAATAAAACATAATAAAATAATTCTCACGACGTTTCGGCCACAACGCAAGCAGCCGTCCTCAGGTGAAGACCAGGTCTGTCGGTGAGACAGCGTCTGAATGAAACAACACCACGCTTGGGGCGTATATTTAACGTCGTGAGAATTATTTTATTATGTTTAAGTTTTATTATTTTATTACTTCCCTTCTACGTGACTTTACCGAAAGAACCAAGAAGATGTATCCCTGCAGTCACGAAAGCTTTTAATCGAAATCTTAAACCACCTGATGAGGATGAGCGGCAGCTTTTCCGGTCACAGTTTAATCATCAATATATTGGCCACGTGTTAATGATGATGATAATAATAATGTCTTTATGAACGTGACAATCTTGTCGGATGGTGGAGTGGTTAATGACAATCATTTGGACGCAAGACTTAACACCGCGTGGCCTCGCCCGACAAAAAAGACACGTGGATGATTAAGAGACATCGTCTTGATCGTTGAAAAAGGTTACGTGGGCTTGGGCACAACACGTGGCTGTTATAAGGGAGCCAATGGTCGAGACGAATCACGGAATGGCAGCCAAAGAAGGGGGCGCGCCAAAGAGAGAGAAAGAGAGAGCGAGAGAGGCAGTTTGTCCATCGCGGAGATGGAGCGATGCAATTCGGCTCGCGTGCAGCAGGTGAGGATGCCCTTGTCCGCAACTTCGCGTGGCCGCGAGAGACGGCGGTGGCTTTGGGGGAGGCCTTCATCCAGCGGTGGATAGACCCATGGCTGCTGATGATGAACGCAGGCAGTCTGCTCGTATAGTGCAAGGGAGTCAATTACCATTCAGGGTTGTCAGACGCTGTCAATCACGGTGCCATGTTATGCAAGTCATTGAATCTGATAGTATAATGGAGGGTGTTAAGTGTTATAGTGCAGGGTGTTTGGTGATATGTATGCATGTTGAACTTGCCAACCGTGCTAATCGGAGGTGCGGGAAATGCTGGGTGTCAAATGCTAATACGCAGAGCGCGTGATAGCAGAATGCACGGTGTTAAAGTTCTACAATGCAGAGAAGTCAAACGATTACAATGCACGGTCTCATCTTTAACGACACACACACACGGCATCAGGTGGTGTAATTCCCCAAATCTGGCTCTTTAGACAATCGCCGTCATCACCACCATCACCACGACTGTCATCTCACGTTGGGTCTCATTGCAGGGGCTGGCAGCTGGATTAATGAAGGGCGTCAATGAGGCCGGGCGTCAGTGCACGCCCTACTCTGGCCGTGCAAATGCGCCCGGCGCCACTGAACCCGGCTCTGATGTCAAAGTGTCCTTTGTTGCCAGTAAATGCGACCACATCAGCCTCTTGTCTTTTCCATTGAGGGTGTGCATCACCCCCCCCCACCCTTACCCCCCCCCACTCCCTCCCCTCCATCCATCCATCCCTCTCTCCCCCCTCCAGGGAAGTCAAATCTACCCCCCCCCAACCCCCTCCACCTCCATCCCACCTCCCCCCCCCCTCCACCTCCTCCCCCTCAATCCCCCCCCCCCGCCGCCGCCACTGACGCCTCCACGTATCCACTGCAGCCCCCACCCCTCCTCTCGCTTTGTGGCAGAGCGCCTGAGAAGTGACGCAGACTTCGTTATAGCCCCGCTTGAAGAATCCATGGAGACCGAATCAGCGGGGAGTCTATGACAATTTTATAAAAAAAAATCTCCTCCTCCTCCTACTACTTATCCTCCTCCTCCTCCTCTTCTATCTCCTCCTCCTTTCCCTGCCCATTCAAGAATCCTGGCTGTGTGTGTTGTTTTTGGGAGTGGGGGGGGGGGTATAATTTGCTTAGGACAGCCCCACCGATCATCGGCGAGTTTACAATTGAGCTGCGCAATTGGCTCCCAGCGGTGTCTGAGTGAGAGTGCGAGAGTAAGTGAGAGTGCGCGTGTGTGTGTGTGCGAGCCTTGTGTATGCATGTGTGTGTAGTGGTCTCGCTAGCAGCACTTGCCCCAAAAAGTCCGTTAAGGCTAAACGGGGGATCTTTGTCTTTGTAGTGGTCTCAGTCGAAATCTACCCCCGTCTTCTCCCTCCGCCTCCTCGTCTCTCTCTCTTTCTCTCCTCGGGCAAAATCGTGCAGATTGTCAGAGTCGCGCCCCCCGTCTGCAAAGCACGAAAGAGAGAGAGAGAGACACGGAGAGAGACACGGAGAGAGACACGGAGAGAGACATTGGGAGAGACGGACAGACAGATAGGAAGAGATACACAGAGAGACAGAGACACATTGAGAGAGAGAGAGACAGGAACATACACACAGAGAGACAGAGACACAGAGGGAGAGAGAGAGACAGGAACATACACACAGAGAGAGAGAGACACAGAGGGAGAGGGAACAGACAGAGACAGAGAGAGACACATGACGAGAGACACAGAGAGAAACACAGAGACACTGCCATAGAGGACAGCCGCCTTTTACAAATCACGATCAACGCCACTGCATCGCCACCTGTACCATCGTCTGTAGCAACACCTGCGCTATCACCTGGACTGTCATTCAGGTCACCATCGGCACCATCGTCAGTACCTTGATCGGTGTGATAACTCGAATCGGGCCTCCGTTAATCATCAGCGTCGTGTCGTCGTCATCGGTAGCAGGGACAGCAGCAGCAGCAGGAGCGTCCATCGAGTAAATAACTTTCGGTAACATTCTCAGCAGCGCCATCGAATCTTCATCAGCTCTATCGTGTCATCATCATCAGCAGTAGCAGCAAAAGCATAATCATCGCTTGCGCAATAACTCGCATCATCATCATCATCAGCACACGGACATATCAGTACCAGCAACATAAATCGAGTCGGCATCATCATCATCAGCAGTAGCAGCAAAAGCATAATCATCGCTTGCGCAATAACTCGCATCATCATCATCAGCACACGGACATATCAGTACCAGCAACATAAATCGAGTCGGCATCATCATCATCAGCAGCATCGTCATCAATAGCGGCAGCGTAACTTGTGTAATCATCATCGTCTTCATCAACAGCAGCATCATCATCACTCTCAACATCACCAGCACCATCATCATCAGCAGCAGCGGCATTAACTCTATTCATAATCATCATCATCAACACCAACAGCAGCATCATCAACACTCCCAACATCACCAGCACCATCATCGCCATCAGCAGCAGCATTAACTCTATTCATAATCATCATCATCACCATCAGCAGCAGCCGCACCATCACCTACCTCTCCATCCCATTCCCATCAGCCGGCTACTCACCGCGGTTGAGACTCCTGGTGATTCCATCACCCGACTCGGCTCGTTGACATCGGGCGCCACTCAAACTCCCGGACCACGGAAATAAAGTTCATCATGGCCAGCAAGTCATCCCCATCTTCTTCCTCCTCCTCTTCTTCTTCTTCTTCATCGTCGTCGTCTTCGTCTCCGCGTGGTTGTCGCCTGCCCTTGGCGCTGCTCGTGTTGATGTTGGTGCAGGTGGTGAACCGGGGCTTGTGCGCCTACCCACACTGGTGGTGAGTGAGTGAGTGAGTAGGTGAGTGTGTAGTTGGGTGCGTGGGTAGGTGAGTGAGTGCGTTGGTGAATGCGTGGGTGGGTGAGTGGATCGTTTAGTGAGTGCGTGGGTGAGTGTGTAGCTGGGTGCGTGGGTAGGTGAGTGCGTGCGTTGGTGATTGCGTGGGTGGGTGGATAGTTTAGTGAGTGCGTGGGTGAGTGCGTGGGTGAATGTGTAGCTGGGTGCGTGGGTAGGTGAGTGAGTGCGTTGGTGAATGCGTGGGTGGGTGAGTGGATCGTTTAGTGAGTGCGTGGGTGAGTGCGTGGGTGAGTGTGTAGTTGGGTGCGTGGGTAGGTGAGTGCGTGCGTTGGTGATTGCGTGGGTGGGTGAGTGGATCGTTTAGTGAGTGCGTGGGTGAGTGCGTGGGTGAGTGTGTAGTTGGGTGCGTGGGTAGGTGAGTGCGTGCGTTGGTGATTGCGTGGTTGGGTGAGTGGATCGTTTAGTGAGTGCGTGGGTGAGTGCGTGGGTGAGTGTGTAGTTGGGTGCGTGGGTAGGTGAGTGCGTGCGTTGGTGATTGCGTGGGTGGGTGAGTGGATCGTTTAGTGAGTGCGTGGGTGAGTGCGTGGGTGAGTGTGTAGTTGGGTGCGTGGGTAGGTGAGTGCGTGCGTTGGTGATTGCGTGGTTGGGTGAGTGGATCGTTTAGTGAGTGCGTGGGTGAGTGCGTGGGTGAGTGTGTAGTTGGGTGCGTGAGTAGGTGAGGGAGTGCGTTGGTGAATGTGTGGGTGAGTGAGTGCTTGGATGAGTGAGTATGTAAGTGAGTGTGTAGGTGAGTGCGTGAGCGGGTGAGCTATTGTGGAGATGAGCGGGCGCGCTGTGGTGAGCGTGGAAGTGTGGAAACGGATGATTCGATTGCTAGGTGAAAGATTGAGCACGTGAGCGAGCGGCTGAGTGAGTTGACGAGTGTAAGGTGAGTCTTAGCAACTGCAATGGGTGAGCCGTTGAGTGAGCGAGTCCAACATTTTAACGAGGGAGTGGTTTAGCGATTCAATGAGTGAATGCGGGACTGGGTGATTAAGTGCGTGAGCGAGAAGACATTTACTGAGAGATTTAGCGAGCGTGATTTGTAGGTATGTATTTACGTTGAACTTCTTTCGCACCGTACGTAGCTAACCGTGCTAAACAGTTCTAAAGAAATTAGTTTGTCAATATCGACAGAAAGAGCGTTCCAGACGACCGCAGTGATTTAGTGAGTGTGTGTTATTTGCGGAGCGATTGAGTAATTTAGCGAGTGATTTCGCGAATGGTTGAGTGATTTAACGAGTGATTTAGTGAATGCTTTAGTGATCGGGTGAGTGGCTATGTGGGCCAGTGAGTGGTTTGATAGGCGAGCGATTCACTGGGCCAGTGAGTGATTTAGTGAGTTGAGTGGGCGATTTTAGTGAGCGTTGTAGCCAATAGTTCGGTGATTGAGTGAAAGAGCGAGCGAGTAACTTAGTGAATGCTTTCGTGGGTGAGTGATCTGGTGAGTGAATGAGTGAGTGAGCGAATGATCTACTGAGCAAAGAACCATGGTGAGCGGAGTGAGTGAATGAGTGAACGGTGAATGAATTGGTGGGCGATTTCGTGAGTGGGGAAACAACTTGTGTTATGAAATTGCAACAATCATCATTGCAACGTCAACGAAACACAAACATACACCAAGACAAAGATCCCCCGTATAGCCTGAACAGACTGTTGGGGCGAGTGCTGTTTGTGAGCACCTATGAAGGCCGGCACGGCACCCGGCCGCCTTTGTCTTCCGAGTGGCGATGTTTACACAACGTACTAGGTACTCATTCGAGGCTGAGTCGACCTAGGGGAGGCCCAGGACCGGTTCAGATCATCGTCACCGGTGTTAGCCATGAGCGGGAATAGAACTTGGGTCGCCGGGTTCGTAGCGCAGCGCGCTAACCGCTGCACCACCGCTCCCCACATACACGTAGACACACATATACATAAAACCTACCACAAACAACACACAACACGATATATACACACGCATAGTATACATGTACAATACACACACCGCGATACACACAGACACACGAACACACAAACTCAATATTTTATCCCGATTATCATTTACGTTGTAACCGACATCATCACAAAACAGACAAAGATCCCCCGTGTAGCCTTAACAGACTGTTGGGGCAAGTGCCGTTATCGAGTGGCCGGCACGGAACACGAGGGGGTGGGTAGCCAGCACCCACGCCCCACCGCATTTGTCTTCCCGGTGCTGATGTCGAAAAAAAACGCACCGCACCAAGTGACTCATATTAAGGCTGAGTCGACCTAGGGGAGGCCCGGGACCGGTTCAAACAATCACGCCAGCTGCTATTGCTCGTGGACGGGAATCGAACTCGGGTGGTTCCGAGTTCGTAGCGGGGTTGGTTGCGCTAACCGCTGCACCGCCGCTCCCCCGTAACAGCCCCGACAAGCAAAGCCAGCGGTGTTGTTGTTGTTTTTGTTGTTGTGTTTGTTGTTGTTTTTGTTGTTGTGGCCGGATACACCGGCGCGTGCGGGAGATGATCAAGAGGCACGATGAGACGAGTCCATCCGTGTGGGTCGCGACTGTCGCGTTCCGTGCGTAATTGTTGGTTCGATAATTATAAAACCACGTGGTCTTCTCGTTACTGTTTCAATTGTCGCCGAGATTGCATGCGCGCGTGCATGTTGAACCACCCGCTCTCTCAATCGGAAGGTGTCTCTGAACGACTTTCCTTCGTCGCGTGCGAAATTGATCGCCGCAGACCACGCGGCGTGAAGACGACGCCGCCGCCGTGGTCTCTCGTCGCAACGCGATGTCGACGCTTCTTTCGCTCAACATTCACTGCGACTCGTGGCGCGCGCGCGTTCGGTGGCCTCCTCGCGATCGACTCAGCCCCTCGGATGAGCAAAGCTGCTGCCGCGAGGAGAGACAAAGGCGGCCGGGCGTGGTTCTGGCCACCAATCCCCCCCGGCGTGTGACGTGCCCGCCGGCTTTTAATAGGTGCTCCTCGCTAGCAGCACTTGCCCCACAAAGTGTGTTAAGGCTATACTGGGGGATGGATCTTTGTTTTGTATAATGTCTCCACCATCGATGTGTGCTGCGTAGTTTTGAGCAGCGTTGGGTGCAGCGCTTCTCTACGAACCCGGCGACCCGAGTTCGATTCCCACTCACGGCCAACGCCCGGTGACGATTATCTGAACCGCTCCTGGGCCTCCCCTAGGTCGACTCAGCCTCGAATGGGTACCCGGCCCGGTGTGTAAATATCAGCACCGGGGAGACAAAGGCGGCCTGGCGTGGAGTTGGCCACACCACCCTCCTCGTGCACCCGTGCCGAAACTTAATAGGTGCTCGCTAACAGCACTCGCCCAACAGTCTGTGGGGGCTACACGGGGCATGTGTGTGAGCGTGTCTATGGATATTGGATGTCGTAGTTGTGTCTGTAAATGGTGCTCGATTATTTTGTGTGTATGTGTGTACAGCCCCGTTATATATCATAGCGCACCGCCTAACAGCGAAACAAACTTAAATGAATGATCACTGTGCATTCGAACAGCTCCTGTGCACAAGTACGTAGGTCGTTATGACTCTCCGTGCTTATAAGTGTCAACGGTGGGACATGAATTCAGCCCCGCGCAAGACGCATCGTCACAGCCCAGCAGCACCCACGGCTCACATACCTCCTCGGTCTCACGATGCACGGGCCAAAGTTTGTCCCAGGCAATGCGATAAGCCGTCGCGCAATCCTTGCCGTGTAACCACAAAGTAGACACATAGAGACACGCAGAGACTCATAGAGATTGCGTAGAGATCGCAAAGAGACCCATGGAGATACATTGATGCATAGAGACTCGTAGAGATTACATAGACACCCATAGAGACACGTAGAGATTACATAGAGACTCATAGAGATTGCGTAGTGATCCCAAAGAGATCCATAGAGATACACAGATACAGAGAGACTCGTAGAGATGACATAGAGACCCATAGAGATACATAGAGATACGTCGAGATTACATAGAGACTCATAGAGATTGTATAGAGACCCCAAAGATACTCATAGAGATACATAGATACATAGAGACTCGTAGAGATTACATAGAGACCCATAGAGATACATAAACACGTAGAAACTCATAGAGATTACATAGAGACCCATAGAGATACATAGATGCATAAAGACACGTAGAGATGACATAGAGACCCGTAGAAATACATAGATACATAGATACATAGAGACTCGTAGAGATTACATAGATACCCATAGAGATGCATAGACACATAGAGACTCATAGAGATACATAAACCAATAGAGATACATATATAAATAGAGGCCCATGCATGCTAATTAGTAACTATAGTTACTATATTTACACGATCTAACCCAACCCCCCACTACCCCCCCCCCCCCCGACTCTATAATGGATAATATTGGTAGCGAAAGCCTACGTGTTACACGTAATCAATATAATTACGGTGAAGGTTCGGGCATGGGACGATTCATGTCGCAGCCCTCTGTCAATCCACTGCTGCGTGTGAAGATCGCTCTGTCGGTAGTCGGCGTTTCATCTTGTTGTTGTTGTTGACCATACTTCACCACTCTGGTCAACGCGGGTTGTTGAATGAAGGGGAGTGCGGGCCTAACGACGCAGGGCTGCTTCAGTGGCCGTCACGCGCCAGGCGGCGTTAAACCCGTGACCAGGAGTCGAACCGAGACCCTGGCCCTCCCGGGTGCGTAGCGCGGTGCGCTAACCACTGGGCCACCGCTCTCCTAACCCCCCCCCCTCCTCCCCCTTAAAAAGATAATGACTATCTACAATTACTAATTAAAATGTTTTTAATGAATGTTTAATTATTAACCAATTTGTCGATTTAGTTTTTTTGCATTATCAAATCCGGTGTTTAAATTGAGCAGCTTAGAATTCCTCAACCCTCCCCCGTTCAATAATTTCCATCCATTGTCAATACACTGCCAGATGAAGTCCTCCCCACGCCGT